TATGCGCGACCGTGCGATCTGAATCGAACGCTTTCTATGTGTGCCACGACAATAAATCTTGCGAGCCGGCGCGCTATTAGCATAACCGTCATCAATTGCAACTAATGAAATGATTATTACTCTATCCGTGCTCTCTGACTAATAACTTTGAAAATTGCTACCAATCAATCGATCATTGGCTATATATACACTCGAGTTGATTGATAGGCAGGCTCATACATTGCAAACACGTGGTTTTTATTGAAACGTGAAGCCAATTAGCGGAAAAAAATATGATTCAATTTGGCAGTCATAAATCACTGCTTGCTGCGCGTCTGTGTAACGCCGTGGCGGTAATTTATTGGCGAGATAAGAAAAAATTCCTGGCTCGTGTCGCCTTGTACCGATAATTCGGTGGCGCGCCACGCTTTCCTCCTCGAAAGGCGACGCGCCCGCGCGGTTACCGCTTGCCCTCCCACCTGGACACTGGCGTCGCGAGTGAGTAATTAAAGCAGCGCGAAATTTACGGCATGAGAAAAGAAAACTAATTGCGGCTCTCGCTCGTCGGCCTCTCGCAGCTTTTAATTTGCGCGAGAGCGCGCGCGCGCGCCAGCTTCAAGCTCATGAATCACGCATACGTGCGCGCGCGCATTATAACGCGCGGCCCGCTCTCTCGGGCGCGCTTTTGTGCCAGCTGATTCATAAGCGAAGTGTCAGTATGTAAAGCGCGCCGTTCATACACAATCGGCTATCTGTTACAAGGATTTTGCATATTTTCAAGTGCCAGTCGACCGACGACAGAGCCGCGCGCTTCTCGAGCCCGTTTGTTTCTTTTAATTATTATTTGTTGTTGTAGTTGTTGTTGTTGTTGTTGTTGTTGTTGTTGTTGTTGTTGTTGTTGTTGCGATTCGCTTCGTTTCCCGAAAGTGTCGCTGTGGCACGCTGATACTCGTTATTGCTCGCAGAATACAGCGTAAAGCGTATGGCGAGCAACGTCACGTCGTAATTGTAAGATATATGGTGTGCAAGGCTTTTGCCCGATCATCATTCTTTGCACTTATTAACAAATCTCTGATTACTTCATCAATCGCTAGAGACATCTAAGAGAACGCCAATTACAGTTGCGCTCGCCAAAAATTCTTAATTATTTGAATTATTTCTCTATATTTTACAATAGTTCAAAATTAAGTTCTATTTGCGCGCTTGTATCGAAATACATATTCGATTCGCAAAATATTTTTCCAAATAGTTATATACATTGGGCTTTCCGAGAAAAGTGCGATGGAAACATATTATAGTGTACAAACATTGCACTTAACTCGGAAAACTCGATAATTATAATTATTTAACATTCCAACCCAGTTGGCCACATTGACGTGTGTGTATAAAATATTGTTTCGTCATTGCACACTTTTATTTCCTATGATACATAAATCGAGTTTTTGTGTTATTATGAGATGACTAAACCAACTTTTTCGATAAAGTGAATGGAAACAGGTGATACAATGAACCGCGCAACTGTGTAAACATGCTAATGTTTCCGGTGATTAAAAATACGATTTATTCTGAAAAAAATTTTGTACTACTACGTCAAATTTGCTCCATCACACTTATTTAGTTCCTACGCCACATTATCATTGTTCTAAAATTCATTAAATCATAATTCGTAAAGGTTTTAGTGTATTCACAATGCATAAAGTTTTTGTATGCGAAATATGGTATTTTATGAAAAAATCTTTTGCATTTCGTTATGTTCTATGAATTATTTTTAGCGGATTTTTCATAAAATTTCTACCAGGGCGTATCACGATCCACACAGACGGCCAAAAAATTAGCTTTGCCGGTCTATTTCATGTGTAGAACATTATAACTAATGAAATCGAAAACAATTTCAAAAGTTAAATTCGCCTCCAGTAGCCCACAATATCTGAAAATATTGTCAGAAACAACTCGTATGCCTTTGATCTCTAGTTGCAGGTATTAAACTAGTGTGTAAATTCACTAAAGTTAAGGCTGAGCTTTGTTCGCTCGCATAGTTCAAGTTTGAATCTACTTGTAAGAATTTATAAACGTGATTATAGTTACAGCATTATATCATAGCTTCAATTTGATACCTTGTATAAAGATTTTTAAATCATCATAAAAATAATATTTTCGACACTCCGTGCGCAAAGTGCGTCTTTCCCGCACGCTCGGCAGTAAAACGTGCGTTGAAAATCGCACTTTCCACACGTCGTATCAAAAAATACGGTACGGCACATGTTCGGGAAAGAGTTTCTCGTCTCGTGTCCCCTTCCACCCTCGCTTCGCTCGGGTGTAAACGCCACACGAGACCAGAATCTACTTTCCCGCACTTGTATCGTAATGTACTATTAAGGCAATTTATTAATAATGTATAAGCTTTAGTATATTCAACTAAATCTTTAAAGCGATGACAGCCGCCTTAAATAATATCATTAACGTATTAAATTAATGCTTTTGATGTCTATTAATACGCGTAATTTTCTAAAATTATCGTATTAGAGTAGCCGAAACGGCGACCGAAAGAAGCCTCCCTTAATTTTACATGGTAATTTTTCAAATATTAATATTCACACCTAGAGATTATAAGCATATAAGATGGATACGATACTTTTTTCATATATTACGTGCACGTTCTGGATTATGAAGACCATCTGTCTCTCCGAGTTTTGAAGATTGGTGATTAGGTAGCGCTGACATCCTTCTTGTTATTTCTCCGTTCAGTGTATATGAAAGCTTCATTGCAGGCTTCCATTCCGCTTACTTATTTGGTTACCGATTTTTCCGTTATACCATGTATATGTATACATATTTGAAAATTAATAGTTTTCAATGGACGCTTGGACCAATGTTGAAATGTTTAGAATTGCTGTAACTCTTTGCATAAGAATAAAAGTATGAAGACATTGTCGTGAATGAACTTTCTCAATCACACTTGTTCTAATTGAAAATTGATGTAGCTTCGAAGTTGCTTCTTATCCGATCTACATACGTAAAGGTCGTAATTAAACGCATGCAATAATTTGGCAATTGCAAATCATTGAAAAATGCGAAAGTGAATTATGCGATTGGCGTTTTAGTTTTATTGTACTTCTCATTCGTCATCACGCATTGCACAGAAAATAACAGTTCTGACGATGGAAATAACAAGTATGAAAATTTTAAATGTTAAAACACATGTTTTCTGAAAAGCAAAATAGAAAACATATAAGGCTTTTCTGGACGAATTTCACAGACATATATAAAAGCCATCGCGGAAATCCGAAAATTTCACAGCCCATCCCATCTGAAGTTTACCTTCGCTTCGTGCAGTTGGTTATTCGGCATAGAAAACCGTTGACGATATTTTTAATACACCTTAACATGTTGGCAAATATAATATCTATGAAAATTCTAATTCTACGAACAGGGAAGTTCAATTCCTGTATTCGTGATAGTTATAACGTTGATAAGGACTATTTCGATAAAATGACGATCTGTCGTACGCACCGAATTGTTTGGATCACGAATTGTCGTATATTACTTTTTAATAATTTTGAGCAGCTCCAAAGGAAGACTGTTTAACTAGCGCGAGATGAGAAATTAACGATCCATCTTTGTGCTAAAATTGGAGGTAGTTTGGTTCAATCCATGCTATTCACTCATGTCGAAATATACAAGGTCAAAACATTGAAAGTTTTAGACTTTTCCATGAAAATACTTTTGCGGTCTCTGACATATAAAAAAATTATTAGCCGGCATTCGCTATGAGCGCACGGGGAAAATCTTTGTTGTTATATCCATCATCTAGAAACTAAACCATATAAGTTGCTAAAATCACCCTTTCTGGATGGTAGGTCCATCATACAGAAACGCGTATATTTTTACTTGTTCAGTTCAAGTGGTGCTGGTGCGTTCGTTAACGTACACTTTCGATCGATCAAACATTCATAAAGTCTGCGCGGTTAGGTTGAATTCTCGAAGAAACCTGTATGCTATCCCGGTCTGTTTATAACTCGGCGATCGCATTCCAGTGCCGACTTCCAATTCGCGCGGGGCTACATTTTTCTTATAATACTTGGTTTAACTCCAGCATCGTCAGCATGTGATCGCGCGCGATGCCGAGTCATCAAATTTGTAGAAACTGTTCGCCCAAAGAAGCGCATCGCCGCCGACGCTTGTAAACGCTCAAAGGCGAGTCGGTATCAGCGAACAGTTGCGCGGTGCCAATGGTTCCATTCTCGGAATCGCAGAGTCAACGAAAGAGCCGCCAAGCTCGTCTTCAAACTTGTAACAATAAAATAGCAAGATGAATCGTGCAGCGCGGTACGTCGACCGCGGCTTGTTGACAAACAAGCGAAATAAGCCTGGCAAGAGCCGGCCGACCAGCGGCGCAGTTGTACTTTAAATTTGGCCCGCGTTCCGGCCGCCGGTGCAAGCTGCACGCGAGAAACTTGCTTGGCGCTGGGCGCAGCGAAGCTAACGCATCGGCCACGATCGAACGCTAAGCCGCGGCAATCTCGCGACAGACGCCGCCGCCGCCGCCGCCGCGATTCTCAGTGCACTCGTAATCTGTTGATCCTGTCTCACGAGGCCTTCCTTTCTCTCCGCTCGGCCTCTCCTATTCCTCTGTTCGCGTGAGCCGCTGCTATCCTGGCGTGCGACAGTGTGCCAGCAAGCAGCGTTCGCGCTGGTGCACAAAGAGCGGCGGCAATTTCTCGCTCGGCGTCCGCGGTAGCATGCTGGCTCACACGTACAATGGTGGTGTTCTTGCTTGTGGTGGCGTCGAGCGCGGCGGCGGTGCAAGGGGAACCCGCGGCGACACGCCTATAGCGCCGGTAGTGAGGGTAGCGGCGTGGGACGTTACAGCCTCGGCATTGGCTCGCGTACCGGCGCCCCGGCAAATGGCGATGCCGTGGCTGGCGAGCAGCCAATCAGCAGGCGGCTTGGTACTTGGGCATACGCTTCTCGCCGATGCCAGCAAGTTCTCGACGACGCTACGCGGCTCAGTGCCGCGAGAGCAGAGGACGCCGCACCAGTTGAGTGCTATCTTGCTCTCGACTGCTTCGTAGTCTCCGTCAAGGCGCTCCCTGGACTGTGCGTCCAGTTGTGGATTCGTCGAGTGCTGATCGCTCCAGTGCAGCTGTGGACATCGCTGATAACGGTGTGTTTTGCCAGAGCCCGGTTGCTGTCAGCTGTAGTAATCGCGGGAACTAAACACAGAACCCAAGTCGACTGCTGTGCTGCTGGCTGCTTCGCTATATAGCGAACGGGCGACGTTGCCACGTCCGAGTGCACAGTCGATCGACACGCTTTTCACGTTCACCCTAGCCAAGTGCCAGGTCCGCGAGGCTACGTGTCTTTGTGGCGGTTCGAGCGAGAACGCGCGAGTGTGTGAGCGCGCCAGTGCGCCGGCAGTTGGTGTGCGAAGCGGCGAGATTACGCGGATTAGCATTGAGGCGGAATCGAGAAGAACAGGGCACCTGAGACTTGGCAACGCTGCGCTATATCTCGTGCATCCATCTCCGTCGCTCGCTCTGTCTTTCTCGCGCTCGCGCACCAATATATCTGTATACAGACACGTACACACGGATCGGATAGCGAGCGGCGGCGGCGGCGCAGAGAGCGAAAACGGCCGTGCTGTGCGCGCGCTGCTTTCAGCGACGCTACACAGGCGCACACATACGTGCTTCCTCAACTACCAACACAGTGCTAAGCAAGAAACTCGACGGTGTGCCGAGGACGGCGCTGCTGTACGTACGCATTAAAAACACGGACTCGCTAGCAGCGCACGGAGCGTGTTTCCTCGAGCTGTGTGCTGTGCTGTGCCGTGCTCCCCTCCACAATCCCCACCAGACCGAGCCCACGTATGGGTCGGACGAGTCCAAGGGGAGCGCGAGCGAGGGGCGCTCGCATCTGAGGCCACGAGTGCGAGCGAGACGGAAAGACTCGCGGAGGGGGTAGAGAGGCGCAGCAGCAGCAGTGTAGCGAGAATGCGCGCGCGTCTTCAGTCGGCCTCGAACCGGAGAATGTGACTGATGTTAACGTGAGTCAAGTGTCACGTTGTGCCAATCGTGAGAGAAGGGAGAGAGCAGCGGCTTACTGCTCCGAAATCCAGTCGCAGCAGACGGCGGCAGCGGTCCCTAACCTCAAACGGGCAAAGTGTTGTCGCAGTGTGAAAAAGTGCATCGCCAGTGAGTTGTCGTTCCGAGACGGAAGGATCGTGGTGTGCGACAGCGACGGCGAGGACGGCCATGTTTGGTGTTTACTCAGGGGCACGTCGCGAACGCGCACGGCTCCACTGAGAAACAAGAGTAAAATTGGTTTGTGAGTGAGTGCTGACGTCACACGCGCAGAGCACACATAGTGAAATCGACAACAGCAGCAGCCGGCGTAGCCGGTGAGAGCGCTACTAACTTGCCGGAAAACGTCGACCACGACCTCGTGCTCTCTCTCTCTCTCTCTCTCTCTCTCTCTCTCTCGATCGCAAGAAGTTGTTTTTCTCGTCGCGTAAATAGACGACGACACGCGAGTGCTAGTGTGTGCGAGTGCGTGCGTGTGCGCTGCATTCGACGACAACAATAACAACAACGACACGTGTGTGACAGCGAGTGCAAGTTGTCAGTTAAGTTTTAAGTTAAGTGTGACATAGTTGTCGTTTTCCCATCCCCTCTGCGACGAGGCCTTGGTCCGTGCTGGAAACCATAGCTGCCGCTCTTCGCGAGGCGGCAGTGAGTTCCGGCACAGTCGCCCAGCCAGCAACGACGATTTCGCAAAGGCGCCCCGCCGACAAGCACCGAGGGGGAGGAGGTGGTGGTGGTGCTGCTGTTTGCGCAGCAACTGGGTCGCAGCTGCTCGCGTCGTCGTCGTCCTCGATCTTGGACGACTACGACGTCACGCACCGTTCGTCCGAAAGGATCAAGGTCAAGAGAGCTTGCGAAGAGTCGGTGCAACTGCTCCAGCAGTCTACCGCCAATATCAACAATAACAACAATACTACCGCTAACAACAACAACAGCCAGATTAATCGTATCAAGCGAAAGATCATAGCCAAGCTGTTCTCGGCCAATAAGGCACTGAGCAAGGACAGCGGCGACACAGCTGGCAACGGTATCATGGACCCGAGCGACCGGATCTACGCGGCCGAGAGGATCACGAAGAAGCGCGAGAAGCGAGTAAGTTAAAGGCCCGTGCTGCGCGCAGAGCGAGCCACAGAGAGCTCCGTGTGCAGACGCTGCCAACGAAGGAATGATGATGTTTTGGCAGCTTGCGCGAGCCGCCGCGCGATGGCGACACCGCACAGGAGCTCTCTGCGATTCGTGCGCATGCGCCACACCCACACAGCCGAGACCGCCCTGTCAGTGATTGCAACTCACACTAATTCGCCCGCGGCTCCGTGCCCCAGCCCCCTCTCCTTCCCTCGCTTTTTCCGTTGACCAACGCCCCCTTCCTTCGTTGCCCCTCCTCCCGGCTCGCGGCGGCGCGTATCGCCCCGAACCTTTCTATTGCACGCTCTCGTTCGCGAGCGAACCCAAGCTGTGCCCCGCTCGCTTCCTTCCTTTCTTTTATAGAAAAGTGTATCAACGGACGAGATACTGTTACTCGCCGCCAACTTGTTTCTCATTCGCACGCCTCTAGTTGAACTGCTGCCAGCGGCTTCTTTTCGCTTCGAGCCGCAACTTTGTTCGCGGGGAGGGTTGCCAATACGTGTCCCGACGAGTCTTTTCGTCGTAGCCACTCTCGAGCCAGTGGCGCTCGGGCGATGCTGAGAAACGCATGATGACCTACGAGTGGATGCGGCGACGAAACTCGCTTCGACTTCAGCCCGACAGATTCGCGAGGCTCCTTCATTTGAATACCTTTATGCAATCAGCTCGTCGTTTGTGCAAAGCTATTCACGCCGCTCGATCGAAGCGGCCCGGCCGAATGCAGCTCCCCGACGAACACGATGACCGTCGTCCGCCTATTTCAATTAGGCATTATTAATCGAGACGCATGCGCGTTTCCCAAGTGCCGCCGCTTTCTCGGCTGAATCGCGAGCACTCATCAGCCCGAGTGCGACAGCAAGTCGTCGTCGCCTGTGCAAACGATTCCGCGGAATAATCTGATCCGGTTGGATTCGGGGGTTCCGGGCGACATCGGCAAAGTGAATTTTCTCTCCGGCAGCGCGACAAACTCCGATCGTGAGCTCTCACCTGGCGATGAAAATCTGTAGCGCAGCTCTCGTGTTATCATAAAAAGTAGCGGACCTCGCTCTTCCAAATGCCAACCTTAATCGGTTCCTAACCCAACCCACTCGACCAGTTTGCAGCTCAAGCCAAGCTGCCGCGGTGCTGCCCGTGATGTCGACGGCATCCCGGCTCCGTAAACAATCGTCACCAGCGCGAACACGGGTCTCGAGTGAGAGAGCGAGCACTGAAAAAGCATAAAACGCAGCGCGTACCTGCTACGAGGACAGCCGTGGAAAGAGAGAGGAGAGAGAAAAGAGCGCGCGTAGTTAGCTGCGCGCGCCGGCTTGAGGAAAAAAAACAAGGAAGAAGAGCGGATGGAGAGTTGGGTTTCCGCGTGCGCGCCTCTCCCCTGTCTTTTCACGCGCGGCGGCAGCTCGACGAAATCCGGGGGATCGGAAAACCGCCTCAGCACTGGCATGTGCAACAGAGAAAGAGAGAGAGAAAGGAAAGCCAGCGGATTTTTCCCGCGGGGCTCCCTCGCCCGACGTGAGAGAGAGAGACAGCTCCGCGAATGCAACTTTCTTCTTTTCGTTGTTCTCTGCGCTTGATGCTCGCTGGAAAACGCAGCCGGGAAAAGTCGACAGTTCGACGCGGATTTCACCGAGAGCGACCCACATATCTTACGAGAGTACGCGTGAGCGTGCACAATTGCGACCGGGTGCCGGCTACTGTTCGTGCGTGCCCCCCCCCCCCCCCCCCCCCAACAGCTGATGACAACAATCCAAAACCGACGCGTACTCGATTCGTTGATATGCGTGTTTTTGTCGTTCCGCTGCGTGCATGTCGCTGGCTGTTAGTCTCTTAACGTAAATCGAACGTAATCGCGTTGCGTACTTTTATTAGCAACGTTTCAGTTCGAATTAGACTAGTAACGAGGAAGTATCTAGTGGAGAGCATTATCGATGATATAGCTTTCTTGAAATGAACGTGCTCTCCCTCATTGGGAATTAATTTTTTAATGAGCTCCCGTGCCACAAATTCATTACCGTGACAGTTTGTTTCGCTTGGATATGAGATTGTTGTGCTGAGTTGTACGCGGAATGACTCATGAACTTTTGGAGAAAAAAAACTCAAGGGTAAATGAAAGTTCTGCGTTGACGCACAATTGAATGATTCGGAAGAGTCCATCGTTCCGAAAAGTTTTGCTCGTCCGCAGCACTTGTACAAAGGGGGGGAAGCCCATAAAATCACTTGCATAGGATGGATCGTAAGAGCATCCCGAAGGCGAGAATTGAGCGAGGTACTTGCGCGATGCCAATGTAAAATAATGACGAATCGTACAGGTGTCTCTCTGGACACGAACGGACGTCGGCATTTCTCTGGCCGTAAAGTCGCGCGCCGGCGAATAAATCAGTCGACGTAATAAATAAAGAGGAAGCGCTGGCGGCGGCGGCGTCGGCGCTCCCTCGTAAAAATGCAAACTACGCGGAACGCGCGCCACTCCATAATCACTCCATAAAACTGGTCGCTCTTCATAATTACGCCGGCGCGACGTGTCTCCGCCACCGCGCGTTCGCAAGTGGCAATAAAGCCCGAAAAAGAATCGGTTTACGATTTGCCAAGGCCATTGTGCGTGTCGGTCGCGCTGTACGCGCTGACTCCGATGATCCTCGAAATCGACTCTTCCTCAAGGGGTCCTTCTTGCCTGTTTTTTTTTTCTTCTGTTTCTCCGCCGCGGCGTTCAAATCACTGACGACTAATGCCTTGGCTGACTAGGTCGTAAAACTGACGAGGTCCTGTCCGACTTCTTTTTATCTCTTTCTTCCACTCGCGGGCTGCTTCCTGTGCGGGGAGGACGATTGTTCTTGCGCGATGCGAAAGAGCGAGAGAGTGGAGCGGTGTTTTGTGACTCTGTTTCCGCTTGTAATGGGATTCTCTTGTCTTTTCCTGTTGCAGGGCAAGGTCGAGTATTACGTGAAATGGAAAGGCTGGAGTAAAAAGTGAGTTACACCCAATTGCAATAGTGGCTATGCCTCTGCTTTGCATCCAGTGCTCGTAACGTCAAATTCAATTCCTTTCAGATATAATACGTGGGAGCCAGAGGAAAATATTCTGGATGCGAGGCTGATCGAGCTCTACGAGGCGAGTCAAAAGGGCGGCGACTTCCCTAGCAGAAGGCCCAGGCGAAGGGACACCAGATACAGCGTAAGTCTTGTACTTTTATTGCCAATTACCTGTATCAAAGAAAACGATTATACACTCCTGTGAAACTTCGAGTCGCCTATTTCATTGTTTTATCGTAGCTCTTCTAGCGCACGATCGCTGAATCGATGGTGGAAATTATTTAAGAGGAACTAATAAACGATTTTACTCGGAAATGCCGTCATTACTCTTCCGTCAATTTTTTTTCTTCAACTACTGCTGATTGACATTGACGAGTAGAAAATTATAAGTCGGGACTTTTTCGAAAGAGCAAACTACAATAGCAAAGACGTGTAAGATTTAAGAAGAAGCATACATTGATACGATGAATTTCTTACAGGAGCAAGTACTCGCCAACCTAGTAGTAGAGGAAGAGCCTGGTGGGGATGAACCCGCGGGTGATGACAGTCAAGATGAGGGTCATACCACAATTGACGAAACTATAACAGCGTCGAGGCACGCAAATAGTCGAGCGCCTGCTGACGTAGACGAGGACACTTTGGCAAGCTCGCTCGATGGCCACGAGAATGCCAACGACTCGGCGTTCGGTGGCGACTCGGACGACTCCAGCAGTAGTGTCGATATACCGTTGCCCAGGCGCGAACCTGCCGGTACCAAACGCAAAGCCGAAGTGCTTAGCAAGGAATCAGGCAAAATTGGCGTTACCATCACCACGAGTAGCCCACCCAACAAGGTTCCACGGCTACTTCCTCTCAAAGGAAATACCCCGACCTATCATGTAAGTAATCGTGATTTTTATAATACCATGGCTTGCTATGGCTTCTCTGCTTTATTTTTTGTCATTTATATCTTTTTCCTCGCCAAATTTTTGTTGCTTTTCATTTTCTTTGTCTTCTCTCTTATTTTTCTTAAAGCCTGTCGGTTCATTTATCGTATTTTTATGTAATTTGTTCATTTTCTTGTGACTATTCACTAATTCTGTCTATTTGCACCGTGTACAACTTTCATCACTAGTTCGATACTTGTATCTTTTAAATCATTTGATTGACTAAGTCTTTCAATTAAATAATTTGGTTAGATCATTAAATGGAAATATCTGCAACGAAAAATTATTAGTTTTATGTTTTTGGTCTTGTTTTGACAATTATCATTGTTTTACGTTGTTGTAAAGCTTTATTTATCTGTATTACAATTAGTAGTTAAGCTCTGAATACCTGTATCGTACTCGCCTTTGCTATTTAGGCGTAATACTACTGTATAACGCTGCTAGTACGCTAACAGTTTGCCAATAAAATAATTGACCGAGTTCCTCTTGATTTCTAGAATCACAAGGTTAACGGCAGACGGCCGTCATCTTCGAACGTCAAATCGACTCCCGAGGAGCCGCTTCCCGCAGTTCCGACCACACCGGCTCCAGCTGTCCAGGACAAGAAGCGACCCGAGGCAGACGTGCCTCGCGGACCGCCACCTTCACTTCCTCGTGCGCCACTATCTCCTCAAATCGATACTCCCCTCGAACCTCAAGCGGCATTCACCAAAAAGAAACACCACGAGCACAAGAGTTCGGAAAAGGACAAGCCGGTTGTAAACGGCCCAGTGAGTGTCGATGCCAACGGTCACAAATCCCCCATTCCTACAGATGCCTATACCAATAATAACAGGTTAAACGCCCCAACCCTTAATGGACATCACAGCCCTACTAACAACAACAACAATAATAATAACATCAATAATAACATCACCAATAACAACAATAACAACAACAATATCAGCAATAAGACGCCAATGAAAGCTGATATCAAAGCGGATACAGTGTACGTACCGTTGATGAGTCCCGGCACCGATTACTGGCGAGCGCGCAACCCCGTGGCCGATCAGGTCTTCATCACAGACGTAACTGTCAACCTGAAGACCGTCACCATCCGCGAGTGCAAGACTGAGAAGGGTTTCTTCCGCGAGCGTGATCCCAAGACCGACGTCTATCAGTGAAGTGCTCACGCTGCAGAGCCACGTGTTAATGTTTCGATGTCTCAAAGCTTGTATATATAAATTATTTTCGCACTAAAGCACTGGCTGATTGTGTCAGTGACATAGAAGGAATGAGTGTGTTATTGATTGATTGACAGCGAGCGATACATTTTTGAAGTGATCCAAACACGCGCACTTTCGTTTTTTTCAAAAAAAAAATATATATATATAAATAAAAAAGGACAAAAAAATTATACGTAATCTTTTTTGCATCGTTTCTTTTTGTATTTTTGTTGCAGCGATGCTCGGGTTAAGGATGCACTTATTCGAGAGAAAAATTATTGGGTATAGCGAAGATATAACGTACGAAGTAAGGTAACTTTGAGGTCATGCAAAATTTTCAAATTGATCGAGACCTCAAAACAAACGTATAGAACGCTTGGTAGTTAATAGATTTGCTGAAAAATAAAGATGAAAAAAAAAGAGTACGATATACGGTAGAAAAGTATGGAGGTTGAGCAATATTATTGCAGGTTTAGAAAGAGAGACAGACAGAGAGAGAGAAAGAGAGAGAGAAAGAGAGAGAGTGGACCGGATAATAACAGTTATTAAAGTACAGAAAGTCAGTAGGGGGTGGTTTAGAAGCTTGAATGGGTATTTTTATCGCTTAATACAAGTTGACGATAGGTTCTTATTATTTGCGCGAGTTCCTAAAAATTAATAATTTTTAATGAAAAACTTTTATCTTGGTATCATAGTATCAAGATCGGACATAACCATTTTCCTGCTTTATAGTGCAATGAAATGAGCAAAATTATACTGAAAAGCACAGTTAGTTCCTTTTTTCTATTGAAAATACGCAATAGAATGACTACACGGGCTCTTTTTTCAAAACGCATACAGTTGAAAAAGAAAAAAGTAAAAGATACATGCATTTCTTACAATACTAGGTTGGCGCGATAAACTGATCGATCGATCTTTGGTAGTTGTGGATAAGTCTTCGAGCATATCTCAGCGTTTCGATTGTATGTCTCTTGAGTTCACTTTACCTATATTGTTATTGAAATTTGTAAACGAGATTAAGATTAATGAAACTTGCTGACCAAATTTTTTGTCTTACCAAGCGTAGACAACTATATCTTCAGACGTAATTGTTTTGTAACTACTTACATTCTGTGCATTTCTTTATATGCACTTTCAGAACCAGTAAATCCGTGATATGTAGGTAATTAATATACATACCCCCTTGGAAAAAAAGTACTAATCATACATGTTGCTTATTTATTGACATCAGTTTTAATAATTTTAGAATTTTGAATTCTTAGTATTATAGTATTAAAATGTATGTATGCAGGATGTCCCATTGAATCAATTATATATTGATTTTATTTTATAAAAAATACACTATATATACATAATATGAAGGTTTCTTGTCAAAGAAGCAAACATGTGATGATGAAATTACGAATTTAAATAATTCTGAAGAGTACTGACGTAAAATTAAAGGGACAACAAGTTTATTTACAAAAAGAAACAGACAAATAAGTGCTTTTTACAATGGGACAACTTGTATCTTTAAATAGAATTTGCTCCTTTGGAGATCCCAATGTATAAGACTCATACATGCAAAATGTAATAAGTGTACAGCTAAAAAAAATTAAAAGAATTGAAGTGTGAAGAAAAACAAGGAGCGAATTCAAACAATGCGTGTCTTGTATAAAAGAAATTAAATTGTAAATAACACAACAAAAAACTTAGTCGACTGATGAGTGCGAAAAGTGTGAAAGAAAAATTTGCGTGTGTTATAGATTATTGCATTATGTAATGTACATAGATACTTGAATCCCTTGTGTTATAAATGTTACACGACGCAAACGATTAAAAACGAAAAGGGTAACAAAGCACGCTAATGAAATGAAAGAAAAGTGGAAGGGAGGAGATATAGGAGGATGATCTTTCTTAGGTTTAAAATATTTGATGATAGACTGTACGCGTACCTTCGATATTGTTTTCTGTACTTATAGACGATCGATTTATCTATACCATAATCGCATAAAAAAGATGAACACAGGCATATACGATATGTGAACCCCGGTAGTACCAAATCCAACAGTAATTTTAGTTCTGTCTGGTACAGATTCCTTATATTTCAATAAAATCATTACATTAACTTTTTGATGTTTTATTTGACCTTGTCTTATAACTTCACAGAATCATCGTTTTTCTCATCATGTCAATGAATTTTTCTGTCCATTATTCAAAAATGGTTTGACGCAATTTACGCATTGACTAAAAATTATGCCTTTTGATTACATAATTTCTTTTTATTTATTTTAAGATTTGAATATAAAACTGATTAAAGCTGAAAATCTAGAAGGAAGAGTTAAAATATCTTTTTTTAGCAATTTAATAATTCTTCAAAAGTCTCAAAAACAGAAGTGAACTAGCCAGTTGCTTCTAAATTTATTTCAACGTAAATGATAGGGGGCAAATCCTTGTATGAATATAGTAATGAATCTTAGAGGCTAGTTATATCTGACGCCAAAGATTATTAGGGGTTCACCTAATCTCTGTCACTCTGTCAACGCTCCGGCTGGTCGGCTGATTTTTCCATCAACAGAGCCATTTACTGCTCTTATCATGAAAATAAACATTCATCTTCCTACACAGTCGCGTAATTCACAGACACAACAGATACGTTCAGTTGACGCGACGGGGCAGCAGCAGCCGTTTGTGAAACAGATCTCGTCGCCTACTCACTCAGTCACTCAGTCGGCGGAGAGAGCGCGCGTCGCTCTCCGTGTACTATCCGTCACTTATTCGAGCTTACACTCGCTTGCTCGCTTCGTTCACTTCTTTTATTGTTTCTACACGCACTCGCGCTCAGGAGCACAGCAAAAGTTTTGCTAAAGTATAAATTTCTTCCCGAGCACACAAGAGGGCGAGGCTTAGGTGGCTGTGGCGCTCTTAGCTCGCCATATGCCCTGAACAAGGCTGGAATATCATGTGGGTTAAGCCGGAGGAGGTCTTGTTGGCCAATACTTTCTGGTAAAACGGAATTAATACTGATTAGTACCTTTTGGCCGACGTTTAGTTCTGAATCCTTTGCGTTTGTTTATATTGGCCTGTACGCCGCTGCGCAATTTACCGATCAGCTGTTTCCTTTTATTCTTGAGTTTATTGGATTCTCCGTGCTTGCAGTGCGAGTGTTTTACGTATTACATGCAAAACAACAGGAAATTTAGAGTTGGTTAATAGTGTTGTTGCCATAATGGCTAACTGTCGGTTTTATCTCGTAATTTTTTGCGTTGATCATGGCAGAAGGAGCACATATAGATCACTATGATCCCCACGGTTTCTTGTGCTTCTGATTCAATTCAATAGATAATAATACTCTACTATTCGCTTATCGTCTATAGCTTTTTCAATTAATCAATGCAATATTTACTGAGTTTACAATATCTACTTAGCTTTACTAGCTTCTTAGTGCCATATTTTTATTAAACGCTCACTTTCCCGTAACATAAGAGAACACTTTCATTGTTCTTGCTCTTGTGCAGTATCTTACTTACCTTAACCTGGTCATTTGCACAAGTGTTACCACTGTTACTTTTGTAAAGTTTAACTTTGAATGATAGTAGAGTTTTTGTGCTCATCGAACTTCCATTCTTTTTATAAGTAAATACCTAAATCGTTATCCATAGATGAAATGAGTATTACTATCTATAAATGAAAATTTTTTTACGTGCAATTATCTTGTGATTCACAGGATTACAGAAGAAGCTACTACCTACTTTGTAAGGCAACGTAGAAAAGGTCATGGAAAAATTAAAGGCCTCACTTCCATTCTTGTTGGAACACTCGACAGTGTATTTGACACAAAACCACCACCTTTCAGAATACTACATCAAACACCATCATCCGAAGTATATTGGAGTAAGTGAATTTGTTTTTATCAATAACAGTTTAAAAGAAAGTTCATTGCTTTCATCTAGCATACAATTACCATTAATAAACCACAGAAATTTATCACTGATAACAAACAATACTGATAACTATTCCCTCTGGAAGAAAGAAATAGCAGCTGTGTATACATTTGCAGATATGTACAACGGCGTCTGTTTTCTATCTTTACTTATAAACCATTGCTTATTTTCATCTTTTTAAGAATATCATAGTTTTTATTGGATTTTTATAAATTTTTATTTTTACAGTGGTGGCATGTTCCTTGACACATTCAGATATAGTGAGAGATTGGGAATGGCTTCACATAAATTTGACAACCACCCTACAATCTTTTGATACTGAAGAAGAAATTACAGATTTTGTGTGTTGCAAAATACAGTCGATTATAGCAAATAATGTATCAGAGAACAAGCTTGTTGATGGTATGTTTTCTCAAAAGTGTAAATCACGCTGAAATAATTTAATTTGAATTTCACGTTTTATGCATCTTTTTTTCTTTATAGATGAAGATTCACAGTCTTTTAAAAGAGTTTCATTCAAATTCCATCAGCTTTTCAATGTGCCCAAGGATGATAAACTTGTAAATTATTATTCTTGCAGGTAACATAATATTTATCCTTTTAATTTGTGGAAGGCTTATTATTGAAATAGATTTATTTTATATAAATGTTGTATTTATTTCAGTTATTGGAAGACAAAAATACCAAGGCAAGGATGGTTGTATTTATCTGTAAATCATATGCGTTTTTATGCTTATATTCTGTCAAAGGAAACAAAATTGGTTATCAGATGGGCAGATATTTTAGAGCTGGAAAAAACAAATTCCCTTGTATTCCCTGACAGTATTCGTATAGTGACGCGTGATAATAAAGAGGTCTGTATACTGCATATTATTTTATGAAAGTTTTAAATTGTCACGCAAAATTAACATATTTTTTTAATTTTTAGCATTACTTTTCAATGTTTCTTCACAAATCTGAAACGTACTCATTAATGGAGCAGTTGACGAATCTCGCGATGAAACGGTACATTTGTTACATTAGTAAATCTTAATTATATTGTGTTACTAAAATAGATAAAATTTGTTTTAGACTCATAGACGAAAAAAGTGGTTTCAATGAAGATAGAGATCTTCTTAATAAATTAAGGTAAAAGTTATCAAAATAATTTGCATTAAATGTAGATTTATTTAATTAATGTGCATAATTATGTTATTTACAGTAAGAATGTGCCTAAAAAACCTTCGTTTTTGAAACGAGATCTTGATGCACGTGCACACTCTGAAGCATACAGGCTTCAATTCAGGTTGCCAGGAAGTGAGAAATTAGATGGTTGCGTTGATGCAACATTATGGACACCGTACAATAAGAGACATAATTGGGGAAAAATATATCTGTCACAAAATTATTTGTGTTTTGAGAGTAGAGTTAGTTGAATTAGTTATTTATGTATTTGTCACACTTGATTCTATAAGTTTTTTACTTTTTAGGTAAGGAATTTAGTTAGTTTAGTTATACCGTTCAGAGAGGTAAGGCTTATTGAAACACCAGATAATCAAGCATCAAATAGTTCTGTTGATAAAGCGATATTAGTGACAACTGCGAGAGCCTCGTTTCTTTTTGCACAAATACACGATAGAGATTTTGTAGTTAAAAAAATATCGGAATTACTTGCGAAAACAAATATTGCTTTAGTGTAAGACTTTTACATTTAAAAAGCTTATTACCACTGCTTTTATAATTTTAAACTTAACTATCAAATTGTAGTACTCCGGTAGAAAGCGTAGGGAATCAATCAAAAGACGGAAAAGCTGCAGAACTTTGGAAGTCTCAGCCTCCACTGATGAAAATGTTCAAGGCGCCACTAAGCGATGAAGCTGCTGCTAAACAAATTGCAAAAGAAAAACAATGGGAAACGCACTTTGCTGAATACGGAAGAGGAATGACGATTTACAGAACTGTTGAAACTGCAAAACTCGTCATTGCTGGAATACCGCAAAATCTTCGTGGAGAAGTTTGGCTGACATTTTCCGGTTAATATTCAATTTTTCCGAAAGAATATTGCGAAATATTTTTTAAATTTATTTATTATAGAAGAAAGAAAAATTCAAATTTTCTATTTTTAGGTGCCTTAAATGAAATGGCAATGAATCCTGGATTATATAAATCACTTGTCGATCAATCGATAGGAAAATCGTGTCAAGCCAATGAAGAAATCGAAAGAGATCTACATAGATCTTTACCAGAGCATCCTGCTTTCCAATCAGAAACCGGAATCAGTGCTTTGAGACGTGTTCTTTCAGCATATGCTTTTAGAAATCCCCAAATAGGTAGGCTCTGAATACATTTTTTACAGATTTAAAAAAATAAGTTGTAATTAATTACAAAATACTTTGAAGGTTACTGTCAAGCAATGAATATTGTAGCATCAGTTCTACTTATATATTGCTCAGAAGAGGCGGCATTTTGGCAATTGTGCAATGTTTGCGAATTACTATTACCAGACTACTACGATCGTCGAGTAGTTGGTGCACTTGTAGATCAAGGTCTTTTAGAAGAACTAGCTGCTGAGCATTTACCTACCTTGTACAATAAGTTGAAAGATCTTGGCTTGATCAGAGTCATTTCTCTGTCTTGGTTTTTGACAATATTCTTAAGCGTCATGCCAACTAGTAGTGCTGTTGACATTATGGATTGCTTCTTTTATGATGGAGCAAAAGTTATTTTCCAGGTTTGTGAAATAAAATTTGATTATATCTCAAATTATTTATTTGTAACTTACTATACTAAAATTGACTTTGATTAGGTGGCTTTAACAGTACTAGAATGGAATCAAGAAAAATTATTAAAGTGTCACGACGATGGTGAAGCTATGCAGCTATTAACTGATTATCTTGGAGGAGTATTTAATGATGAAGGTCCAGTATTACCAAGGCCGGTAGATAGTGTGCTGCCCAACAAGGTATGTTTCAATAATTTTATTATAGGAAGTCATTTATGCGAAAATTTATTTTTAATAACCGAATTTTCTTATGTATTTGTTTTTAGAGTATTTCTATTCAAACGTTGATCTACGAATCATATTCTCGATATGGATCTCTCACAATAGGCGGAATTGAAAGACTTCGTTTAAAACATCGTCTTAGAGTAGTTCAAAGTCTGGAAGAAGGTATAGAGAAGAATATCATAAGAAGTGTCATCAATGAAAAGTTGATGACAACAGAAGAATTACAGGTTTGATATATTTTTGTATAATAAAAACTTTTAGTGAGTTTGCATTTGTATAAATATTTTATTTGTTAGGAATTAATAAATTTAGTAAGAGAAGAATTGATGAGTCAAAGAAAACCCGAAACTGATCGATATGATCCAACGCAACCTCCTTACGAAGTGTATAAGGTTGATTACGAGCTTTTTAGAATATTATTCGCTGGTTTGTCACCGTGGGGCAAATGTACGCAAGCTGAATCACTTGCTGCAAGACTATTTCGAGTAACACTTTTCTTTTCACAAGAAATCTTAAGGATCACTGTGTTGATATTAATAGGTTTTTTAATTTCACAGTTAATGGATCGCAATCATGATAGTCTGTTGAATTTTAAGGAACTTGTGCAAGCAATTGCAATGACGGCTACTGTCGACTCTTCTCAAAGATTAAAACTGTTGTATACGCTTCATTTACCACCTCTTTTGACTCCAGTCGATTTCGAATCTCCATCTCAATCAGGTAGGAAACTTTCATCTTATTTCGAAAATTGCCAAGCTTATAAATTAGGAGAATCAAGTATACATCATTTTGCAGACGGTGCTGAAGTAGCCGCCGAAGCAACGGATTTCTTTGATAGTATGGAACAAAATTCTTTAGAAGTACCAGTTAGTCTCGCGGAAGAACCTATCAATACCCTATCTCGGTCAACGAGCACAAACAGCCACGCAGGTGATCAGTCTTGGGAGGAACAAAGCATGGGTAGCTTACGCTCCATGATTGCGTCCAGGGATAGTCCGTTAGATTTAAAAACTGTGCCAAAAATGTCCCAACCTCATTTTATAGCTTTATGGAAAACTTTGTACGACATGTTTTCTGCTCAACCCGAGGATCAAGAGACATATCATTGTATAGCTGAAATAGGTAAGTTTTAAAAACCATGTTAATCAATGTATGCTTTTATTGAAGTAACACATTTTCCAATTTTCCTTTTTAGGGACGTTACTACTACAATTAGGTGATGTCAGCAAAAGATTTTACGTGGATAGAGAAGAATCCGAAGATAGTTTAGCTGCAGCATCGGCAGCTAAAGTTGTTTCCATCATGGTCATTGCTTATACGTTTTAAAAATGTCTTTTTTTATGTTAGCGTTTATTGAAAATTCAATACAATATTTTTTCAGACGCCTGATAGTAATGGTAATCCTACAACACCTTCAGCTTCAGAACCTAACTGGTCGATTACTGTGGAGCAGTTTCTAGCGTCAGCTTTGAATGGCGAACCAATTGTGAACTTTTTTAGCAAAAGAGCGAACCTCATAGAATCAATAAGCTCACTAAGAAATCGCAGATTCAATCGCACACATTCTCTTTCTGAAACTCCGGTACTACACGTGTGATATTCGATTACATAATCATTCAAGAACATTAATTATTTATAAATTATTTCATGAATGGGTTTACATAAGAGCTCATTTTTAAATGTTGTGTACCAGTTATTCTTTGAATTTTCTTTTTACAATATGCGATAAATGAAAATGAATTGCTAATTCAGATCTCACGTCAACTTTCAACTGTAATTAGCTCAAATTATTGAAAATTTGTTAATATATTGAGCATCTTGATAAAAAAAAAATAAAGTTATTGTTCATCAAATTTGAACAGAAATTGATCAGATCACACAAGGTGCTCATAAGCCAAAAGTAATTAGTCATTAGAGTTTGAAATTTTGTACAAAAAGAAAATCAAACATTTTGAGATAGAAATGATCATTAATATATGATTAGTGTTTAGAATCTTAAATATTTTTCAGAAAAATCCTATTAGATTTTTTTAGTTTGAGTTACTTTTATGATTGTTACACATGCTGGATATGTAATTTATTATTAAGCTGAATTTTTTTTTGTTTTGCAATGAAATTAATATAGCATCGCTTCAGCAATATTTTGTTAATAATCAATATTTTTCAATGTGATACAATTATATTTTATAGAGATGATTTTTATTTTTATATATTACTTAGGTGAAAAGTAACTTGCACATAAATTTGTGAATGAAGAATTTAAAAACAAATTGTGAATTTTAAACATTTATATAATGTACTATATATGTATATAATATTCAGTAAATAATTTCATATATACATTACGTTATTCTCAATAAGAGCAAAATAAACTCTGTAAAAAACATTGGCTTCATTTTATATTTTTTTGTTTCCATTTGTTTTATTATAATTTATTAATTTATTTTAGAATCTTAACAATACTAAAATTAGTTATTTTACTACAAGTCGTAATAAGAAAACCTGATAGTGTTATAATATTTCTATCATCAATATTATTTGTAAGTTTTTAAATTATAATTGGTATTATTAAAAATATGTTTTAGAGATAGTTGGTTCTATGACAATCAATAATAATAATAATAATGGTTGTGAATAATCATTTCATACAAAAAAGAGTATTATTTTAAGATTAACAATATATAGCGTTTGGTTTAATTGATAAAAAAACTTTCACGACTTTAGAAACATGAGAATGACGTTATAAGTCAATGAAAGTAGTGTTACCTGCGATTTTATACTGACAGATTGTTGACTCAAGTAAAGCAAAAATAATTTATTAATTAATTAAGTATTTTTCCTAGTATATAATTTATCTAATATCTTTATTTTTAACTTAAAATGGCTTTATAAAATGATTGATTAAAAAAAATATATACCATTAGCTTCGTCTTAATTTGTACCACCCGAAAATTGCTATTTTGGAATTTGTAAACACCCCCCCCCCCCCCAATTTTAAAATAAAACGAAAAGAACGATATTTTGGAAAACTCATACTCCTGGCGGAAAAATGATTGATATCTTAAAAAAAATACCACTAGTTTCATTTTAATTTGTACCATCAGAGAAATGCTTTTTTGGAATTTGTAACCTCTAAAAATAGAGAAAAAAAAGATTTTCGTACGGTAGATTAGCAATTCAAGTTAACGTATTACTGCGCATGCGCGGCGGAAAATCTATTGTGGCGGTCTCATGATTCGCTCATCCACATCGAAATGGCATCGGCCAGCCACGAGCGGCAAGAAATACGCTCCCTAAATATATATAATAAGTCCGCATAGCGACTTGTGCACTTCGAGCGTATGAGGCAGATGTTACCGGCCGTCGAGCCTCACTGACGAGTTCAGTCGGTAACATCGGGACGAAACGCTTCCTTCTTTACCGACCGCCCGAGCGTGAGCCTGGCTTAGCTTACACTGCGACCAAACCTTTTCTCAAGACTCCTCGTAGCAATTTACGCATGCGCCAACGACGCGCCTGTAGTCAAACTATCTTCCTGCAGAAAAATATGCGATTTTGAAAAAAAAATATGAATGCCTTCTTCTTAATTTATACCATCTAAAAAATACATAAAACTAATATTTGTACCCCTGTAGAATTTGAATAATACAATGTTTTTTGTACAATTGTAATACTGATAAATTTTACAGAAAAAATCTTTTATTTCTTAAGAAACAAATAAATTTCTTGCTTTTCCTTAAATTTTACCAACTGAAAATAGTTTTATAGTAATTTTTACACTCTAAATTTTAATTAGACATGTTAATATACAAAGTCCTAAGGTCGGGATACATTCACAGATAACACAGCGTGCCGGTACGGTCTGGGGGCCTATTCTGAAAAAAAATTTTGTGGTAAATCAGTTTATCATTTCAGTTTACCACAGAATTAATCACTTTAGATGTGATAAATGCTTATGACATGTGCTAAAATTTTTTTTCAGAATAGGCCCCCTGGCACGCGCGTGCTCGTCACGGCGTGCCGTCATAATGCATATTAAAAGTGTACAGATCTATGTTACCGACTGAACTCTCAGGTGCATGACTTTAGTGATAAATAATATTTATATTCTTTAACGGATGGTTATAATAATATTTTGATTGGATAGAAAAACTGCGCGAGATTTTTGCTAACAATTGAACAGATTTATTTCTCTAAAAACTTTATTAAAACTCCACGCAGATGATCTGTGAGTGATCAACTTTGATAATTTTTTTATCAATGAAAATGAAATTATGGGGAGTTATAAATAACTTTTGCTATCTTTGTTAACCACGCGCAGTTTTTCTATAATTTTTTTTATCCATTTTCGTTAACTTTTGCATTTTACTGTGTTTCTATGAAAACGCTGTATAATTCAAATTCTACAGGGGTACAAATTAGTTTTATGTATTTTTTAGACGGTACAAATTAAGAAGAAGGCATTCATATTTTTTTGTTTCAAAATCGCATATTTTTCTGCAGGAAGATAGATTTTCCGCCGCGCATGCGCAGTAATACGTTAATTTGAATTGCTAATCTACCGTACGAAAATCTTTTTTTTCTCTATTTTTAGAGAGGGTACAAATTCCAAAAAAGCATTTTTTTGATGGTACAAATTAAAAGGAAACTAGTGGTATTTTTTTCTTTTAAGATATTTATCATTTTTCTGCCAGGAGTATGAGTTTTCCGAAATATCGTTTTTTTCGCTTTTTTTTAACATTTTGGGGGGTACAAATTCCAAAAAAGCAATTTTCGAGTGGTACAAATTAAGACGAAGCTAATGGTATATTTTTTTTTTTTTTAAATCAATCATTTTTCTGCCAGGGTCGTCTCGATGTTCTAGACGTACTGTCTATTATGTATTAAGACGTATTGTGTATTAACACGTTGTGAGAATGCCAAACGGCACGATTTTATAGTTTTTAGTTGAATCAGCGAGCTTCGTGCATTACTCGAGAAAAAGATGGGAAATGCAGATACAAAGATGAACTTTCGGAAAGCTGTTGTACAGCTGATGTCTAAAACACAAGTGAGTTGTGACGACTTATTGTTTACAAGTAACCTTCCTTCTCATATATTAATTTCAATCAATATGTCATACTAACATCTAGTTTATTTGTTCAACTTAATGTGGAAAATGTGATACAGTCACATTAATAAATGTTAATAAATCGTTATTATTATGGTTCATATAGAAAAAATATTTTAAAAGTAGGTCAACGCTTTTGCTGCAACAACTTATTATTTGATTTTTATTTTTCAGGTAATTGATGCATCTGATGATGTATTTTGGGATCAATTTTGGTCAGAGAACGTATCTAGTGTGCAGGATGTATTTACTTTGATACCAGCTTTAGAAATTCGTACTCTTCGACAAGATTGTCCCTCGAATTTAGCAATGCTATGCTACAAAGCTGTAGAGAAATTAGTGAAGGCTGTTGATAGTAGTTGTAGGACTCAAAGTGAACAACAAACTGTTTTAAATTGTTGTCGACTGTTGACAAGGTTATTGCCTTATATTTTTGAAGATTCTGAGTGGAAAGGATTTTTCTGGTCCAGTTTGCCTGGAAAAGAAAATGATGAAAGTGTACCATTAGCACATTCCTTACTTAATGCAATATGTGTATGTAATTTAATATTTATAGTACATTGATGAATATAAAATTTTATTAATTTATTTATTTTATATTTTAGGATTTGCTATTTTGTCCTGACTTCACTGTTGTTGCAAATAGAAAATCTGGACCAGTAAGTATTGTATTTTAAGATAGTTATATTCGATGTTTTAATAAATTTATCCAAACAAATGTATGCTTTAAGGAGAAAGCAGAAGAATTACAATCAATTGATAGTTGTGAATATATATGGGAAGCTGGTGTTGGTTTCGCTCAATCTCAACCAAGGAACCCAGTGTTAGATTCTAATAGGACTGAATTATTGAAAGTATTGTTAACATGCTTCAGTGAGACAATGTATAATCCTCCGATCGATATATCAGTAGCTCCAAATAAATGGATACAATATTTAACTAGCTCTGAAAATAGGTAGACTATAAGTTTAACAATTATTTTATTTACAGATATGCAAATAGTTTTTCAATAATAAATCAAATTTTTGCAGACATGCTCTACCAATGTTCACATCTCTACTAAATACAGTATGTGCTTATGACCCAGTGGGTTTTGGAGTCCCTTACAATCACTTATTGTTCACTGACTCATTAGAACCTTTAGTAGAAGTTGCACTACAAATTCTGATAGTTACTCTTGACCATGACACAAGTTGTGGAGCAACTGTTGAGGAGGGTGCTGTTGTGGATAACTTATTCATTAATTATTTAAGCCGAATACATAGAGATGAAGATTTTCAGTTTGTCTTGAAAGGCATCACAAGATTGTTAAATAATCCATTAACACAGACTTACTTGCCCAATTCTACCAAGAAAGTACATTTTCATCAAGAACAACTTGTATTCTTTTGGAAATTATGCGATTATAATAAAAAGTTTTTATATTATGTACTGAAAAGTTCAGATGTACTTGAAGTATTGGTCCCCATACTTTATCATCTAAACGACTCCAGAGCTGATCAATGTAAGTAAAAGAATATATATTTGTGTAATAAAATGTATGGTAAAGGTATTAATTTAATTTTTTATTGAACTGATAGCAAGGGTGGGTTTAATGCATATTGGCGTATTTATTCTACTTTTATTGAGTGGAGAACGTAATTTTGGTGTACGATTAAATAAACCATATACTGCCACTGTCCCTATGGATATTCCAGTCTTTACAGGTACTTATATTGCTAAGAATCACATAGATAATTATCTAGATACAACATTTATCGGACATTTTTACAGGGACTCATGCTGATCTACTGGTTACAGTATTTCACAAAATAATCACAACAGGCCATCAAAGACTGCAGCCTTTGTTTGATTGTCTGTTAACTATTTTAGTCAATGTTTCACCTTATCTAAAAACATTATCAATGGTTGCTAGTACAAAACTTCTGCATTTATTGGAAGCTTTTAGTACTCCATGGTTTTTATTTTCTGCTCCAACTAATCATCATTTGGTATTTTTTTTACTGGAAATATTTAATAACATTATTCAGGTAAGTTTTTATGTTTTTAAAAACTATGGAATTTTTTAACACCTTTTATTACAATTTTTGTATATCAATTTCAGTATCAATTTGATGGAAACAGTAATTTAGTTTATACAATAATAAGAAAAAGGCAAGTTTTTCATGCATTAGCTAATTTGCCAAGTGACTGCAACACAATTGCAAAATCTCTTAGTAAAAGGCAAAGAAAGCATATGCCATCAACCACATCTACAGAAAATGTAAATGAAGCTGCCATGGAGGGTTCACATCCCGCGCAACCTGCCGAGCCTGGAACCCTCAAAGCAACTTTATTAGAAACACCTGGAATTGAAAAAATGACCGAAAAAGAATCAGCTCATCCACTAAGTCCCACGTCTGATGTAGATGTTAATAAACCAAGTACTGCAAGTGCAGATGCACCAAGTAATCAAGCTATAGGAGCAAAAAATGAATCTATTGTGACTGTTAGTATCAGTCTTATGATTTCGGTACACATTGACAATTGACAAACTTATCATATTTTACTATTCTTTACTGAATTTAGAAAGGAGGAATACGCGTTACCGAACAATCCAATTCTATAAACAGTGTGAATCAATGGATACCAACAGCTGAATGGGTCTATCAATGGAAAAGTAAACTGCCGTTACAAACGATTATGCGATTATTACAAGTTTTAGTACCTCAAGTTGAGAAAATCTGTATTGATAAGTATGTAAAACATTTATAATTATATCTCGAAAATCACCGTAATGTTTTAAATGAAATAATCTTTTTACAGAGGCTTAACAGACGAAAGTGAAATTTTAAAGTTTCTACAACATGGAACACTTGTTGGATTATTACCTGTACCACATCCGATTCTTATACGCCGATACCAAGCGAATGCTGGTACAACTGCGTGGTTCAGAACATACATGTGGGGTGTTATCTATTTACGTAATATTGAACCTCCTATTTGGTACGATACAGATGTAAAACTCTTTGAAATTCAAAGAGTTTAAAGTTTGTATATTTGTTTTAGTATAACGATTTACTTTTTAGTTTATGAACGTTGTATGCGTGTAAAAAGGTGTTTATTCTATGTAAAACATTTACTAAGCTAATATTTTAAATATTTGAGCTGTTGTACAATGAATGAATTTCGGACCCTGTTTTCATCAATTAAATACTGAGTCCTTGAATAAAGGGGACTTTTTTTAAATAATGAGAAATGTATGCTGTTCAACAATATAAATTTAGAAAAGCTCTCATGTAGTAATTAATAATTTTTATCAATCAACGACTGGAACACTGAGAAAATAAAATTTAACAAAAAATTCCACAACTATTTGAAATATATTTATGAATTTACTTAGTTTCATTAACTCATTACCATCATTACAAGTTTATACTTATATTTACATGTAAATACTCTTTATATAACAGTTAAAGAAAACGAAAAAGTACTATACTTAGAAAAAGTCTTTATTTTCAATTCATTGTCACAGCTCACGCGATAATACATATTACACATGAAAGATTTGGCAAAATCAAGAATTGAGAAAATGATTAACTATGTATATTTAAAGAATTTTTTTATATAAAATTTATTAATAGCGTCATATAGATTGACTTATATGGTAAATTAAATCTTCTGGAGAAACGTACACAGAGAGTTCATAGTACTCTAGCTCATAATGAATAAACATTTATAACAAAAAATGTTTCATTTCACAAAGATAACTATGTACAAGATTAAAATGTTCAGCATGACAAGTACAAACTGTTCAAAAGATATTAAGTTTAAAAATACATTCATTTATCCAAAATTTAATAAAAAAAAATACTTTTATATTTACTATTAGGCACACATATGAAACTTATTAAAATACATAATATATGTTGGCAGTACTGCAAATTATATATTAATTTATATAATAAGGCTAACAGTTTATTGAAGAAAAACTTTTAGTAACTATGTATTCAATATAATATTCATATCTTTTTGTCAAGTTTAAATAACTAATACATATTCAATGCAATTATAACAAAATTAGGTTTTGTTTATCAACCTATTGGTCTTAAAATATTCTTAATTAAGTGTTGTATAGTATTGTAAATGATAAAATAAAACTCGAGTACATGAGAGTTTTGAAAATTTGGCCTCAATTATGCTTTGAGTGATCACCGAAACATTTTTAAATGTATGGATTACTGAAAAAATAAGTCAAATACTTGATATTTGTGCACATGCCTAAAACTTGTCAGCTTTTTCATCGTATAATGAATGATAATTAACGTAATAAAGTATATATTTCGCCATAGAAAATCAAAAGTTCAAAACTTATAACTTTTTAATTCGTCTTAATATCCTTTTTCCTTCTATAGTTATTAGAAGATACAAAATTACGCTGCACTTTTTCATCAGTTATTATCAATAAAATGTTTCTTTGTTGAAATTTCTTTTTTTCTCTCTTTGGCCAATATAATATCACATTACAAAAATCTATATATAAATGCAATCAGTTTCATGTTTGCATGACTATACTAAAAATTAGTGTAACTATATCGAAGACTTTGATAATCTAATAATTCATGTGTGTTTACATATGAACAGTGTATACAAATGACTAGAACGAAAGGTGATTTTATTGCATGATTTTGTCGTATGCAGGCGGGGGTGTTTCTTCTGGTGATATTGGAGGAGGAATGAGAATTGCTATATGATATGGAGGGGGTGGGTTTTGTCTGATAGGCATTAGGACTTGCCTATTACTTTCATTAGAGTTTGGGTTGGCAACGGTAACAGTCGCGATAGGTTCAGCTTGGACTTCTTGATGATGGCTGTTTTGGGCGCGTCGGCATGTCACCGAGTAGAAGCATCCAGACATCAGAAGAGTTGCTAAAAGTCCACAGAACACAAGTACTTCCAAACCAGCACCCTGCTAATTATGCAAAACAAATTTATTTTTAATTAAATCTAGCTAAAAGGAAATGTATTTCTCGAAAGAGTTTTACAAGAAATATACATTGATGAGGTTTAATGGGAATATAAGAACACCATGTGAAGCACTAACTTTCTTAAAGTGGATCTATTTACGACTGAAAACTTATAAAAAGAGAAATAAAAATATTTATTCTTTCACTTTAAACGAATAGCATAAAATATTTTCTAGAGGCAAATTTTGAGAAAACAATTAAGCATAACTTTCCATATCTATATTTAAGCTTTCAAAGAAAAAAAAACTGAAAATAATTTGAATTTCCAAGAAAATTATGTACTTGACATGTATCAAATTACAACTTTACCTGTGTTGATAACTTAATATTAAATTTTGCGCATTAAGTAAAAAAATTAATGACTTTTTACAATGATACATGAGAAATTTTATGTTTGTTTTTTTAAGCTAAAAATTACTTTTATAATTAAGTTATTTGTTTATGTACAATTCATTTGCCTAATGTTTTACTCATCTGTAAAGAGCAATTATTGAAAAGAAACCATGACATTACCTGGTGATCAAAATAAAATCTAGCTGCAGCTACAAAACCAGTAGCTAATATAAAAATAATCCACACACTGCAACGTAAACGATAACCTGCCATTTCAGCATCACTAAACTCAGAAAAATTAAGAAGACCTCTGTTTGTAGCACTTGTTGACTGAGGCAGTGCTTGCTGATTGTTATTTGAGTTATTTACATTATTACTGGAAGAAAAATGATTAATTATCAGTGTTTATTAAAGAATTAAATCTCTGATTGATATTACAACATTGATAAGAAGAATTCAAGAGCTCTGGTATGCTTACTTGCTATTCTCTTGTCCAGGTGATAATCCAGAATTATTGGAAAGGTTTCTATTGCTATTATTTGTACCTTGTCTAGAGCATCTGCTGGAGTTGGAAGCACTAGGTCCAGCAGAGTTTGCACTACTGTTGACAGTCTGAAATCGATGAACTGGAGTAACCATGTGCAGTCTGTGTGCATCTAATGCATTACCACATCTTCGATGGTTGCCTGCTACACAAAGAGAATAATTGTGTTTTCTCTTACTATACACTAGATGATTGGATAATTCATTTACTTACTAAAATGCGTCTTTGGAAAAGACATAGCAGGGTAACGTCGACCACTAAATCCATAGTATCTTCCTGCAGGTTTATCGATCCAGAAATGCATTGTTCCAGTAGTTGTGAGTCAATAATTGATTTGAACTCTCCAAAATAAACTATTTCATTGACCGTAGTCTAATGCAGATAAGTTGCTGATGTGGTGACATTTGTCGTTTGCTTAATGAAGAGGAATTAACATAGAAGAACTATCTGGAAAGCGGAAAAAATATTACGTCGTGTTTTATCGTCAAAAAAGAAGGCATCGAAGCTTATAAAAGGCAAAAAGCCGTGTCGAGAAAGATAACGAAAGTAATACCTTGCATATTGACATAATGATTTGGTGCTTGAAATGAAAGCACTGTTGTAATTGTTTCCATTTTGTAAATGAACGTACTGTATTGCAAATATATTACCGCACTAAAAACCGTGTCGATGATTTGTACGAGTGTGAAAAAGAAATTACAAGCAAGCAAATCGTACGGAAAATAAGGGGGAAAAAAGTGAAACTTTTTTATATAGCTAGTTTGTTATTGCTACGTCGCGAGAAAGAGAAAGAGGGAGAGAGAGGGAGAGACAGAGACAGAGAGAGAGAAGAGAGAGAGAGAGAGAGAAGTCGATAATAATGAAAAAGCTTACAATTGCAATTGTATCTTTGGGTTCCGTAATGCAGCGTTTACTATTTATTTATTTTCCGGCGCACGTGAGCGAGAGAAAGTGCATGAGCAAAATCACGGTTGAAGTATTTACACGGCCAAATGCAAGCGCGATCACGAGAAAAAGTACGTATGTACGTACATCACACGCGCTAGAGATAATACGATATCGTGTCGTTCGTGCGATGTGTTAGCAGTGCACTTGAGCTACCTATTTGGTCCAGTGCCGTGGCCTAGGTCCAGGGTTTGCTCTTGCGCGCGCACATCACCACATCTGTGATTATTCGCAAATGCAGATAGAACAGAGCAGTAGCTGTGCATGTGTTTATTGTAAACACAGTTTCACGCATACACGTTCGGATTCACGCAATCGCTGTGGACGATATGACACGCGCGCACTCTAGCTATAGCTGCAGACGAAATCTGCAGGCACTCTGGACCTTTGGAACGCATCGTCACGCGATAAAGTCGTGCGTTGTGACTATCACGTTGGTCATTTTCACATATTTCTTATTGACACTGTTGCAGAATTGAATTTTATAAAAGTACATCTCATTTTTCATTTCTATAAGCATCAGGCGTAGTCGTTACGTAAGGAGTGCATGCTGACAGATTATAACCTTCAGTGGTTAACCCGCCGAGGACAGTATGATTTTGCGTTGACATCGAGAATCTTGCAATTTTTACGGTAGTGCGAGTGATCATTATTAGATTACCACTATGTGGATTTGCATTAGTAAGAAAGCGGCGCGAGCAGGCGCTCAAATAATCAGACAAGCCTCAAACTTTGCCGACGATCTTGGGGAAAGTCTCATCGAGGCTAAGAAAAGATTCATCAATGATCAGGACAACAAAAATAATGTACGGTCTTTGAAAATCGCTATATTAGGCCTACCTAATGCAGGCAAAAGTACTCTTATTAATCATCTTGTTGGCAGGCCGGTGAGTAATACTACTTGATACGGATAATGTTAGATAACTGTAACACTTGCCTAAGTTTGTAATTCATTTGTTAGATATATACATCATCAAAAATACATATTTGTATGTAATGGATAATGTTAAAAAACTGTGTTATACTTGCTTAAATTTGTAATTTATTTGTTAGGTATGTGCAACGTCATCAAAAATACATACAACAAGGAACAAGGCTGCAGCAGTATGTTACGTAGATAACACACAACTGATATTTATCGACACACCTGGTTTAGTTGGTAGAGGTGATTTGAAAAAATACAAATTGGAAGAAAGTTTTAAGAAAGATGCTGAAAAATCTATACAACAAGTAGATGTTATTGGTGTTATACAGGATATGACCCGTGTCACGGCTAGAGAATCGATTAATGAAAAATTGATCAAATTACTTTCTAAAACCAATACCAAATCAATACTCATTTTAAATAAAATTGATACATTAAGAAATAAAAAATTGTTACTGGAGATTGTAAGAAATCTGACTCACAAGGATGTTTGGCCTTATTTTTCAGATGTATTTATGATTTCTGCTCTGACTGGAGATGGAGTTGATGATTTAAAGGTGAGTTATCTTAATATTTTATCTAAAAATAAACTACATTACTTAAAACATAAAATAATTAAAATGTTGTTTTTAGAATTACTTTGTTGATTCTGCATTGCAAAGAGATTGGGATTATAATAAGAAAACATTTTCGGACCAATCACCTGACACCATTGTCAGGCAAATAGTTAAAGCAAAATTATTAGACAATCTTCCTCAAGAAATGCCATACCAAATAAATGTTTGTGTTGAACACATAGAATCCTGTGAAGATGGTAGTATAAATGTTGTAACAAATGTTGATTGTCCTTCGGCGAGAATCGCTAGATTAGTTATTGGCCAATCTGGAGAGCGCATCAAGAATGTTGCAGCTCAAGCTGAACAATTACTATGTGCAACATTTCGCACAACTATAAGGTTAAAAATAGCAGTTCCTATCAAAGAAGAACCAGAATTGAAAAAAAAAAACAAAGCTTTCAGATGAATTCTATTGCAATTGTACAAAATTTTACGAAACAGTTGTATTTAAGTTAAAGGCATTTTTCTGTATATTGTTATTCTTTGGAATACATTTAACATCGTTTTAATATTATTGTTTGTTTTGTTAAATCTACCACATCCAAATATATTTGAAACTAAACTATAGTTTTTAAATATAATTTTATATAAATATAAGTAATTTTACAAAATAAGCATTTTTTTATGCAAAATTATATGAATTTTATGAAAATATCTGCATAGGTAAGCATTTTGTATCGACATTTATAGTGGTTGTGAGTTGTGTAAGGTATCCACGTATATTACGATACTGATGGGAGATTTAGTACTTCCCGCACTTGTATCATAATGTATTAATCTCGCACTAGTATCGAAATGTACTATACTTACATATACATACATAGTACTATACATATATAAGGTATGATTCACTTCTTTGTTTACAGTTATGTGTTCATTCATTCGACTGTTTTTCTGAAAACTTTCATTGTGCATTTCACATAACCACAGTAAGACAATTTAAAGTATAATTTTCTTTTTATTACTGTGCCAAATGTCAACATGTAAAATATAAAATTTCTTATCACATATATATGTATAATATAAAAACACATTTTAGAATAGACTACTAAGCGGATCGAGTGCGCGCATTGAGTTCCAGAGAAGTGTTTGTTTACATACAAGTTGCAGTTTAATTTTTCTCCTGTCCAGTTACATCCATCGTTGATAAAAATAAATATTGCATATCGCCTCAATGAATCTGGAATACTACAGGCAAGGAAAAATGGCGTTCTATCCAAAATTTGCAACTTCGTCTAGTAAACAAAGCGCAAGTTAGTATATTTGTTTTGAAAACATGGTTTGTTCTCATCAACGATATTCAGCCATTTCTCTTGCTATAATTACTCTGAAATATATATACTTCATCCATCATTCGTAAATTGTATTCAAAATCAGTAGAATGCTACATCTTCATTCATACCTTCATGATAATTGTTATCTTTGTTACCTCTCATTCTCAGATCAAGATGATAAAAACAATATAATGAATAATAAAAATGATATCAATGATCTTGATACCTATATTCCAAGAGATGCTGTAAATATATTGAATGAATTAAAGCCTGGGCTCACCTATACACTTGTACATTCTGTGAATGATATAATTGGATCTGTTGAGGTAAGAATATCATGGATGAATTATAATTTTATTGAAAAAAATGTCCTTCAAAATATTATAAATGAATGATTCATGGACAGGTTGATAGCAAAATTTATTATGGAAATGGGAAATCAGATCTTACAGCAAAGCAGTCTGCAGCAGAAGCTGCTTTGAGAGATTTGTTCTTTGATATGATATTTGCTACTATGACTGATAGTGATGACACTGATTCTGTGGTAATATAACAAATAGTAATTTTATTGATAAAAGTTGAAGAAATAATTTGTATATCTAATAATTTTTTAGTACAATACCAATTCTTGGAAACTATTAGGAAGTTTAGCCATGTTCAAACTTTTAGAGGAATGGCTTCTGTTTTATATGTCTGAAAAGACTCATAAAAAGGATATTCCAAATTGTCCACCTAAAAAACCACCTAGTCAGAGTTCCCTTAAAAATGAAATTTCTAAAATAAAAATTACTCGTGATTTGAAAATAGAGAAGAAAATACCACCTGCAGACTCTAATCCCTGTGTTATATTGAATGCATTATTAGGAACAGATTTAAAATTTGTTGACATGAAAGTAAATAGCAATAAACCTCCTTTTACTTTTTCTATAACTCTGGATGATATAGAGTATGTGGGTGAATGTAAGTTTAACTGTCAAGCTGAAGTTATTTTTTCAATATATCTTTGATTCTTATGAATCATTTTTTTATTTCACAGCTGCAGGAAATAAAAAAGATGCAAAACAGAATGTAGCAAGAAAAGTTTTGATCAAAAAGTATGGCTATAATTACACAAAACAATAAAAATCATAATACCTGTAAGAAATCAAAGATTAATACTGTGACTATGACACTTATAAATTTATATAAATTGTTATAGAAAAATTGCTTTATGTTTATTAAATACAAAAAATTATTGTTCTATCTTTTCTGTATTTTTAGGCACACAAAATATGTAAGCTATTAAAAAATATACATATCTTTATAAATGTTTACATTTTTGGATCCAACTGTAAATAAATTTATATTTTTCAAACTAAATAGGTATTTTGGATAATTAAATTATGAGTTATATTTTGCAAGGAAATTTATTGTATCTTCAATTAGTATTACTGGCATTGATACATAAAGTAGTGGAAACTTTAGCATAGCAAGATTTTGTCAAAGATAACAATAAAATAATGAGTTACACGTTTACTGACTAAACCCTTCATAAACCAAAAATAAAACTTGTCTTAGATATTCCATAAATTTTGTTTGCGTATAATGATCTGTATAATGTTAAATATGGAATACTTTTAGAGCTTCTTACCTCTTCCTCTGCCTTTTGGAGTATTTTCTTTTTTAGCTTTTGGTTGGGAAGAAGCTACATGTTTAAAAAATTTTCGAGTTTTCTCCTACAAATATGAAAAACAGATTACTTTAATAAAAAAAGTTGATTAGCATGATAAAAAAGCAATTGATCAAGCAATTCTTACTGGAGAAGAAGCGGGTACCTGAGTCAAATGTGTAACTTGTTCTTCAAGTGTTAATGAGTCAATGTCCTATAATAAAAATGAAATCTTTTTGATATTGTAAATATAAATTAATCCATCATTAGAAATACATACTAAATCATTGTCTGCCAAAGTAGGAGTAAAAAGTTTTTTCCTGTACTTTTGTTTGTCTGTTTGACCTAATGCCTAAAACCGTATTAAAAAATATAAAAATTCCAAACTCAAATAATTGTATTAATACTTTATACCTCTGACATAAAAAGGTTTGGCAATTCATATTGTTTAAAACTCTGAGATAACAATAATTTTTCTGTACTTGCTTCAGATAATTTTAATCTAGTTTCATATTTTTCATTAATTTCTCTTATTTCCTTCTCTAATAAACGTATTTTTCCCTCAGCTTCAGAAATATCTCGTTCTGTTCTACTTAACTTCAATTTACTATCATTCATTTTCTCAGTTACACATTTAATTTTATCTGCAAGCTGTTTTTTATGCTCATCATGGGATTTTATTGTATTTAAATGTAACTCTTCTTCCTTAGAAATTTCCGTCTCGACTTTTTGTAATTTAAATTCGACGCCATCGTAACATTTACATTTTTGTTGTAATTCAGAAATTTTCTTCTGTAAAATATTAATAGCTTGCATATGACTATTTTTAGTTATTACCAAATCAGTTTGTTTAGCATTCAATTCTTTTTTTAATTTATCTACTTTGTCTTTATTTTTTTGTTCATTTTTGCTCTTGGCTATATTCAAATTTGCAGTCTATAAGGGAATAATAAAAATTGTACAGTACATTGTTTTCAAAAATGTTATGCACAAAAATATTTCAAGTACCTCTAATACAAGTACATTCAGTTCTGTATTTGCTTCTGCTATTTGTTTCATAATTTTTTGTTCTTTGCATCTAAAATTGTTGATTCACAATAAACAAAAATTATTAATTTTGTAAAAACTAAGTTATATTATAAAGCAATTTACTTATTTATTTCAATTTTTTGTTTTAGTTCGCTGTTTTGTGTTTGGAATTCTTGTTTTTTTAACACCTGTTCATTGATTTCCTAATGAAACACATGTGATATAATTTTTAAATATTTTAGAGATTTATAATTTATAATAATTTACACAAGTTTACTTGATCTAGCTTCTGTACATCATTGAGTAGTTTACTTTTCTCATGAGAAGCATTTTCTTTGATGGTATTATTTTTTGCTTCAAGTTCACTGATTCTGTAATAGAAAAGTAAAAAATTAAATACTCTTCATAGCAATAATCGGAACAATATTAAAAACAACTTTTACTTTCTATCAAGTTCGTCAATATGCTTTTGTTCATTTTCTTTTTCAATTCTAATTTCTTGTAGTATAGATTCTAATTGAGAACCTTTAGTTTCATATTCAATAATTTCTCTTTCCAATTCATTAATTTTTAAGTTTAATTCATCTAATTCTGTTAAAACTAAAAAAAGTAGATGTTGCATGATTTTACAACTACAACACTGAAGTAAGTAACATTATATAAGAAAATAAGTTACGTTTTTCATCAGGAATTAATTTTCTGAGATTTTCTTCTAAAGTTGTAGTATCATTGTCTTGTATTATCATGACATGATCATATTCGTTTGCTAAGTCATTGGAAAGACCTTCATGGGTAGAAAGGATGTTTGTAATAGCTTCCATGTTCTCATAAAGTATTTTTTGATATCCAAATAATTCTGCCACTCTAACAAATATGTATTTTCATTGAAAACTATAGTAATTGAAATAAATATTTGAATTTGTTTACTTGTCTCTTAAGACTTTATTTTCTTCTTCTTTCTTGTAAATAATCTCACTTTGATTACATAGATATTCATTTGCTTCTTTGAGTTTTGTAGTAAAAATTTTTACTTTTTGATTGGCATCAATAATTTTTTGTTTCAAACTCTTGATTGACTCCTAAAAACAGAATATTATTTTAAAAAAAATTATTAATAGTATAAAATTTGTCAAGGTGATAAACAAACCTTTTGGGATAATTCAATACTTTTTACTTCTTCTACAAATTGTTGTCTCAATTTAGCTATATTACTCATTTTGTTATCTATTGATTGTGATAAACTTAATGAAGAAAGACCGTGATGAGATTGTTGCATTTGTTGTAAATCTGGTGTTTGCACATTCTGATCATCAATTTTTTTAACTTTGCATGGAGTCTCAGAATTTATGGGATTTGTATTTATACGCTTGTTAACTACAGAGCTATCCATGATACTCTATTTACTTTGTTTTTATAAAAACAATATTTTTTTATTTATATTCTGGAAAATATCGAGTACAGTGTTATTTAAATTTCACATACTGGGAGAAGAAGCAGATCAAATTGTTTTGTTATAATATACTTACGTTTTGTCAATTAATACTGTTATAATATTAATACTATTATATATTCATTAAACAGGTATTAAAAATGTGCATGTTATTTAAATACTAAAATAGTTCTTAGTTTACTCAAAAATATTACAACTGAAATAATACGTTAAGAAATCTTCATTTTCGATAAATATTCGAAAACTCGCACACAACAAATTTGAAATTTTTTTCACAAGCGCCAAACTATAAATTTGATTATATTTATTGTGTTGAGAAATCTTTTTACAATTATTAAAAAGCAAAAAATTTTGCACGATATTTCATAAAACGAATAGTTTTAAAATTTTTCAATGCTCAAAATTTATTGCACTCGAAAATAAAAGTTGTAGATTACCAATTAACATTTATATATTCCGCGTTTCAACAATCATCACTCGCAACCTCTGCTATTATTGGACGGTAGCGACATCTACGTGTAATAATATTTTCCGAAAATACGCTCTTATTAAATTGAGAATAGCATTTATGTGGATTTATAAATCTTCTCTTATATGATATTTTACAACTAATTGCTAAATTTGTTGAGCTTTAACAACGAAATAGGATAATGTTCAGCGGAAAAATTGCAGATGCTAATAATTTACATGACGCATGCGCACGTGACGCTGTTAAGAACCACGATATCTTACATCTCTCTCGCGCTCGAACTCTCCAGGCGCCCTTGACGAAATTAACCTTATTTCTAAACAGTTTCCTTGACTCCAAACTCCTATAAAACAACAGTTGCCGAGCTCGAAAATTTGTCGTCAGCTTTTTCATCGTGCTTAACTGTCACATGTGTCAAAGTCTGAATAGTAGAGTTGCAAAAAAATAAGCCATGTGTGCATGAGTCAAAATTGGAGAGTAATCAGAGACACCTACGGGCGTAACTGAGCAGCAGAGCGGAGCCCTGAAAACCAAGTGCCCGTGTGCAAGCAGGCAGTCAGAAACGTATATCCTCTCGTCTCTCGCGTCCAGTTATTTAAGAATAAGTTTCTTTTTGTCGTGTACGAGTGCTGGCGAAAAAAATAATCAATCCAGACGCCCGACTAGCGAGTGAACGTATTGCACATATAAAATTGCATATCGAGCCTTGAGCGCGCGTGAGTGACAAACGGACACACGCATATACGTCAGGAATGCTGCTGCTGCTGGCGAAGAATTAAAAAGGGCACAGTTCAATAACAGCATACACGAAAGAAAGCTATTTTCGTCCTGATTGATCGCGTTAATAATTACGCAGTCGACCTTTCTCGTTCAAGGACTTACACGATCTATCGCAATTTCTCTTGTTCTATAAAATACGTTGAGAGCGCGGTCCCCGACACAGATATACGCACACGCGACGAAAATGGCACCGGAGATGAACAACAAGAACCGCATGATGGTTTTCAAGAATAAGGGCAAAGACCAGGATGTAAGTATCGCAAGAATGCATATTTTTTGAAGACCGTATAGATTGACTCGTGATATATGATATATATGCTGTGATGCTTGGTCGTTGGCAAAGGGGCATGGGCGACAGTTTCCAAGGCGTACTGCACGAAAGAGAGAGAGAGAGAGAGAGAGAGAGAGAGAGAGAGCGAGCGAGCGAGAGCGAGAGAAAGAGAGAACGAACGCGTGAGCACGCGCAAGGGAGCAGATGGTGTAGTGCGAGAGAGAGAAAAAGAGAAAGAGAGCGAGCAGGTGGAAGTCTTGTATGAGAGCATAAGAGAAAGAGAGAAGGAAGATTTGAGCACGAATATTCGTTACAACACGCATTTTCCGCCACTAAAAGCTGCTACTATTTGTACTTAATTTCTATTCCATCTTTTTTGCTCTGTAATAAATGCTAATCCTATGGATTCTGGGTTTTCGAGGCAATGATGCACCTTTCTTTAACGTATATTTCTTGCAGTGTGCTGAGAGTCATGCGAGACTGATTCTTATTTTTATTGACGATTGTACCTGAAGTGTGAGCTGTGGACGCACTATATTTGAGGGGATGATTCTTTTTGTTACACATGATAGGCCTGTATCTGATACCAATTTTTTTTTTGTTTTTTTTCTCTTCTTGCTGAGTGTATTTCTGTATACGGGTTGAATCTTTTATGAATTATGGTTGAGTGTCTTTAACTCCTTGCGTGTGGTTGGCGTGCATCGTCATGAGCAAGTGAGCTTGAACATGTGGATATGCATAAATGCCTTGACAACAAGCCTCCATTGAACAGTATTTTCTACTCATTTTCAGCCAACTTAGCTAATTTTGCTCCCACACACCCAAGGGGTTTAAGACGTGTACTGAGTTTAATGGGTTAACTTGATACAAAATGTTATGATTCATGAAACCTTCAACCATGTGTAAGATTTTTATTCTATTATATTATACATACTATATCTAAATCTTCTAATATATCCAGAGGACTTTTTCACTATTGACAATCCAATACAAAATTATCAATAATAAGGAAAATATTATTGTAAATTTGTAAAATTAGTTTTTCTGAGAAGATAATCCAAAATTATTTAATATTTCTCTTAATAGGTTTTTCATAGACTTCTTTTCATTTAGTGAACCAATGAATTACCAAATATTATGGTAGTTAAATGTGAAAAAAAGTCCCCTGATCATTGAAAAATGACTCATTCTAATATTACTTTTAATTTTGTGGTTCCAATGCACATACTAAAACTAATTTACTTATTTTTAAAGAATTTATTCGACTATACACTTTTATTTATTTCTTTTCTTAATATTAAAAGCATATGAAATTTATTACTTAACACGATAAAAATAATTTATGGTTGTAAAATGAAATAAATACAATAATATTTACAAAATGTTTTTACATTTTAGGAAATGAGAAGGAGAAGAAATGAAGTGACGGTGGAATTGAGGAAAAACAAGAGGGAAGAAACTCTTCAGAAGAAAAGAAATGTACCTATTACTGACTCTCCTGGTAATAACATTGAGGTTGATCTTTTTTACTATAGCACTGTCAAATTTTTATCTAACATATATGTTTCTATTTCAGATGAGGATGATATTGACAGACAGTTGGCAAAAACTAATTTGCAGGAGTTGGTCTTAAAAGCTGCAAGTCAGGATCCAGCAGAACAATTGCAAGCTGTCCAGTCTGCTAGAAAGTTGCTTTCTTCAGATCGTAACCCACCCATTGATCCTCTGATTGAGAGTGGTATCCTTCCTATTTTGGTCAAGTGTTTGGAACAGCATGATAAGTATGTTATCATTTTTATATTTTCTTATTATGATTCATTCATCTTTCTGTAACTTGTGCTAAAAAAATCGTACTTTTAGTCCATCTCTACAATTTGAAGCAGCATGGGCATTAACGAACATTGCCAGTGGTACATCAGCTCAGACTAATGCAGTTGTTCAAGCAGGAGCTGTGCCACTTTTCCTCCACTTGCTGCTTTCAAGCGAGCAGCGTGTTTGTGAACAGGCTGTCTGGGCGTTAGGTAAAGTCATTTAAATCATCTTCCTTACTACCACTACAGTAAGAATGTGCATTCAACGTGATGATTTGTTTTCAGGAAATATAATTGGTGATGGACCAACACTCAGAGATTACGTTATTCAACTTGGAGTGGTGCAACCTCTACTACAGTTTATTAAACCAGATATACCTCTTACATTTCTGCGTAACGTAACGTGGGTGATTGTAAACTTGTGCCGAAACAAGGATCCACCACCACCAATCCAAACCATTCAGGAAATGTTACCCGCGCTTAATATTCTCATCCATCACACTGATATTAATGTAAGTTTCAATAAATGCTCAAGAATTTATAATTGTTGAACGAAAAGTCAATTGTTTTTCTTATATTTTTCAGATCTTAGTGGATACGGTATGGGCATTAAGTTATTTAACAGATGGTGGTAATGATCAGATTCAAATGGTAATCGACAGTGGTGTGGTGCCGCGTTTAATCCCACTTCTCTCACACAAAGAGGTGAAAGTTCAAACCGCTGCTCTCCGAGCTGTTGGTAATATTGTTACCGGCACAGATGAACAGACACAGACTGTCTTAAACTGTGACGCGTTATCGCATTTCTCTAATTTATTGACACATCCGAAAGAGAAAATCTGTAAAGAAGCAGTATGGTTTCTTTCGAATATCACAGCTGGCAATCAACAACAAGTTCAAGCAGTCATTGATGCGAAACTATTACCTCTAATTATTCGTAATTTAGCTAAGGTACTTATTTATATATTTATATAAAATCTGTTTTGCACATGGCTTTTATCTGATAACAAAAACATGTATAAACTTTCGTTTTCAGGGAGAATTCCAAACTCAGAAAGAAGCCGCATGGGCTATTAGTAATTTAACAATAAGCGGAAACAAGGAACAAGTTGCACAACTGATACAAGAGGGAGTGATTCCACCTTTCTGCGACTTGCTGCTGTGCAAAGATACTCAAGTCGTGCAAGTTGTCCTTGACGGAATCCAGAATATGCTCAAATTGGCTGGACAGCAAGTAGACGTTGTCGCCAGCATGATCGAAGAATGTAGTGGCTTGGATAAAATTGAATCACTTCAGGGTCACGAGAATGTAGATATTTATAAATTAGCTTATGATATCATTGAGCAATACTTCTCAGATGAGGTAAGTTTGCGCAATTCTGTAATTGCTCATCGCCGTTTACGCAACACTTGTAGGTACATCACTAATTAAACATTTTTTTCTTCAGGCTGAAGATGTAAACTTAGCACCGCCGATTAATGATACAAGCTTCGAATTCGATCAATCGGCAAGCATCCCGAATGAAGGATTTAAATTCTGAGTGGTCCTACATGTTCCCTACCCGATTGTGCCGTCCCCCGACAAACTCCCTCCTGGAGCTATTCTGCTTTCCCTTCTATCTTTTTTCTACGCCATCTTATTGCTCCGGTCGGCACGCACCTAAACGCGACGAATAATGCGCTGGTACTGATTCATAAAATTTTATTCAAATAAAAAAAAATAAGAGAAAAAAAAAGAAATGATGGGCCCAAACAGAAAATTGAAATACAGGCCTTTTTCACAGGCTGTTATAGAAACGAAAAAAGTTGGCTATTTGAATTTCGATTATACGTGCGAGCGAAAAGACCTGGGGAATAAGTCAACGACAACTATAAATCGACTGTGTTTTTTCGTTCTTCATTCTTTTTACAATAATTGTCTTATTATTTGTAACATTTACATCGTTAAACAAGTCTAATTAAGATGCTGATTTGGTTTGGAGAATTATTAGCAATGCTTCTCTTCCGAGCTTTTTTAATGAAGAAATTAATCATTGTAACGTATACAGAACACGCGTGATTATTAAATTTTGTTTAATAGAAAACAACGAAGAATCTGCAGTTGTTTTTTCTCGTAACGTTAATTTTTTTATTTTGTAAAGGCCACCGAATCTTGGTTCATAATGTTTATGATCCATTTGTGTATATTTTAGGCATGATAAATTTGCAATAGGCATCGATTTATAAGAGTATTGTACAATTACTTTTTATTAGCGTAACTAATAACTACGGGCGTTCTGTAAAAAAGTGCATGAGCAGCAACATTAAAATGTAGCTTACATTAGATACCGTAGCTGTCACGATCAAATTTCTTATTCTATCTGAAATTAACAATGTATATTTTTTCTTCAAATACATTGACATCAAATTTACACCTGTTGACGTCATTTCATGATTAACCATTCACCAATTAGAATCCAAAATGTTTTCAGAAACGATTTTTTTAATGAAATTTTATTAAAGAACATCGGTAACAAACTAATAAACATTATTCTTCTTTGAACATGATCGTTGGATCTTCGTAATTATGTAAATCATCTACAAAAAGTTCCTCTGGTAATTCTTCATGAATATTTGGGAAATATGTTGGAAAATATGGCGTTACTTGTGTAGCTTTTAAACTTTTTAGAGGTAGTAATGTGTCAAACATTGTCACTAATGCACCAACCTCGCCAGCTGTATTTTGTCCCAAAAGCCATATAACATTATACTTTGTGTTTATCCGAAGAATCTGAAAGTAAGCAAACAAGTTAATGTAGTTATTTTTACGAACCTCTAAACGATTACATAGAAAAGAAACTGACCCTCTGTCCTCTTAATGTACGATATCTATTTCCCATGTGTCCAGGCAATTTCGTTCCTGGCATTACACGAGCTTTTTTACCACCAGAACCAATATTACCAGGTCTTCTGTGTGTTTTCGTAACACCGTGAGTAGCAGGCATACCATGAAAGCCCCATCTTTTCATTACACCTTGGAATCCTCTATCGATGCTATAATTAAAAAATGTTAATTTTTAGTTGCACAAAGCTAACAATTTTAATTCAAGTTTTTCCCCTATCAATTCCCCCTTAAAGAAATGTGTCTGAAGTATTTGCGTTACGCAATTGCTGGTAGCGTGCTATGGCTTTTGTTTACTAATAGTGTTGCGGTTTATAAAAATAATAAAAGGAGCTCTTAGTGAATTTTTCAAAATATTTTCTTCAATTATACAGAAATATTGTTATGCATGATGAATATGTTAACTAAGAATGATATAATTCATAAATTAAAACCTGGTTTTCAAACAATGTAAGTAATCTAATTATAAATTAAAAGTAATGAAGTTTTATAAATTTCAATAGTGCTAATTTCATTTTTTATATATATCATATAAAAAAGACATCATCAGTTATCTATGAATTCTCATTGCTTGATCCAAAATTTTTTACTGTAGGTTAGTGTTATTTTAACGTGCTTCACACGTTCTTAAAATAGATTACATACATCAATATTTATTAATGAATAAAAATAGAACTTTCACCCATTTCACAAAAACCGATGAACTTTTACTTATTTCAAGATAAATTACCCAAAAGATTTATTAAACCTACGATCGATAAAGCTATTGTACTATTATATAAAGCTAAACTTTACATACTCAATAGTAGTAATTATGGCTCCAATCGTATATTAATATGAGTAAAACATTTAACATGTGCTTTTTGTTGCCTCTATGAAAATACCAATGAATATTGTTCAAATTTAACGGGTATAATATTCTGATAATTAGTTTCCTTAGCTCGCATATGTTTTAATTTACAATGTACAAAAGATAAAAATATATTCTCTTCTATTTTATTCTATTGCTTTTCTTTTTTTTTCTATCAAATTTTCATACGACAATATTCATTTCAGTACCACAGGTGGCTATAGAATTAACGAATCGTGATGATAATTTTAAAACATAAAGGCAAATCTTGTTATACTTTCGCCGATACCATCATATGGACTTTTCCTATAACAATTCGTAAAAAAAATGCCACTCTGCGCTAATAGAATAAATTTTGTATTGACGAGATAAATTTAGAAAAGTTATTCTATTTTTGTATTGACTTCCGGCACCATCGCTAACATAAATAATTTTTTTACAGTGTTATGAAAGTTATTTTTGATCAATTCAATCAATTTTCTTTGATACAATAAAACTGTATATTGATTATGTTTTATACTTTCAGATATAACATCTACTCTTTTGATCGATTTTACTGTTAATTATTTGTAAACTGAAAAAAGATGTATAATTCTTTGATCTTTAGTATAATACACGAATTGAATTTCATCTTGAAATTAGAATACGTAATTTTCAGCAAAATTCATCATTACAAGTTCATTATCCTGTAAATTCATAATTGTTTTTACGAAATCACTTTGACATTTCGATACGTAATCATGCACACCAAATTTATTAACAAACTATAAGCCTCGCTTTTAGTACAAATTCTGTTTCTTAGGAAATATTAAAGATTTTTAAAGAACTTTAGAAGCCATTTAATAATTTTTGAAATTGCGTTGCCCGCAAATCCGACCAAATGTTTATTCAATATTATATCAGATCGTACAAAAAATTAGTTCATTTATATTACTTATTTAATTTATTTAAAGAAATATATGTAGAGTGATAGAATAAGAAATTATTTATTTGTAAAGGTATTTGCGTATGTAGCGTTGGAAACGTACGAGTAGAGGGCGGCCGAGGGATTAGCGCGCGGTTCGCTATATTTCAATGCTGTGGTAATCCTAATTGCGGGCACTCTATTTCCACGTAGGTTTTTTATGTAAAAAACGACAAGGAATACGATGATACGAAAATTAAAAATAATCTAATTTCGAGATATCGTCGATTAAAAAAAAAAAATTATTTATTAGATTTTAGATTAGGTCTTAGATTAGATTTTCGATTATATTAGAAAAAAAGTTATTAGATCAAAATACAGAACAAATATATTATGGAATTGATAATACAGATAGATCCGAAAATGTAGATTAAAATAAATATCTAAATTCAATTTGCCGACCAAATTTCTATCCATATGAATTACGTTTGAACAAAAATTGCATTGTAATGTTGGTCAAATATATAAGTGTTTATGAAGTACTGTATAATGGAAACTTATATTGAATTTCAACCATTAAAATGCAAAATATTAACAGGCGATAAATTAAGTGAAATAATATTTAAAAATCGTGTGTCATTGTATTACGAAAATGAACATCCTTTCAAATTTAAGTAATTTCCAATCACATTGGCATTGAAAATGATCATCAATAAGGCCCAAGATCAGACTTTGATTATTACACAGTAAATTTTGTTAAAAATTATGTTTACAAGGAACTTTACGCGTAACATTATAAATGAATTTAAACTTTATTAATAATTATCGCAAGTTATCAGTCCCTCGATTGATAAATTGTCTTCAACATAATATATCACCGCTTACACGTTTAAACAAAAATCAATTATTCCTAGATAAAAAAGTGAATAAAGTACTAAGCATTCATTAATGAAATAATTTATTTCCACAAAATAAATTATTTCAGTAATTAATTGATTTTCAAATATAATATTTTGCTACATTATTAATAAAAAAATAAATTGCAATAAATATTTTAAATATACAAATAATAAATAAAAAAAAAAATATAAGTAATTGAGTACTTCGAACAATGAATACGTAATATAATTTAAAAAAATGTTTTAATTTTCATCTTTTGAATGGTTTTCATTTTATTACAAAACCAAGTTTTTATTTCGTTCAATAGTTATACTGAAAGAGTCCATTAAAAAATGTATTTGCATTATAACATTGTAACAATTAATAAAAAATGCAATTTTAGCTAAGCAAGAATGTCATTATAATATAATTATTTTTCTATACTTTGATTAATATTTTTTTATATTCTCAATAAATATATACTTATTATATAAAATGTTGAAATTTATTTTTGATTAAACTACAAAAAATTTATAACATTTATTCTTCTTTCCATCAAGCATTAATGCTTGAGCAATAAATTCAATAACATTAGACATGTGCAATGATGCTCTAATTTCATCAAAAAAATACTTACGTTTTGCCTCGAACATCGACATATTGACCAACTTTAAAATGAGTTGCAAACAATGGAATACCAGGTTGTAAAGCTGCTTCTGGAGATACAAAAAACCTTGCTATTAAACGCTTAGGCATAACCCCTGCTTCAGCGAATAACCCACAATATTCTTTTGTAAACTGAAAGAAGTATAAGTATTATTTGACAAACAATGAATAAAGGTTACTCTAATATTTGTATATGAAAAAATTTATAATAATATACCAATTGTGGGTCTTTACTTTCAGCTCCAACAAGAATACATCCTGTCTTTGCAGGAAAAGGATTTTTCTTTTTGGTTATTTTAGCCTCATATTCTTCTGGTGGTGTATATTTAATTACATGATTATCAACAACCTGGAATTGAGGAGATTTATCTTAAAGTAGCAATTCATTTATTGGAGATAAAGTTACTTTCAAATTGTGTTATACTTGAAACAAAGTAGAGGAAACTTTGGTACCATCCTTCATATACATAGGTACAACACCTAATTTTTTAGCAATAACTCCAACTCGTCTGTATGCTGGATTCCATTCTGTATTTGGTTCAATTGTTGGTAATTTTAGTGGAGAAAAACTACCAAATCCTATATCCGGTGCAGGATATTTGTCTTTTATGACTTGCTGGATGAATTCTCTATTTTCTTTTGTTAAGTCTTCTCTATGTTGCTATAGACATAGAAGTGGCAACGTTGATTATGTACTCTTTGAAGTTACTTAAAACTTGTTTTACTAAATGATATACTTACTACTCGTGTTTGTTTAATAAACCATGGAGGAAATCGTTTTCTTGGCCATGTTAACTTTGATTTGATCTGAGACCCTCTAGCTGACACGATAATATTTTCTATTCTGTAAAATCAAAATCTAAATGAATAAATTAATCAGTAAAAATAATGTAATAATAAAGTACATACTTTGGTTGGAGAAAAGTTTTGAGTGGACTTAACCGATTGTAGATTTTGCAAATAATTGTCATTATCTAAAATAAATGAGTAAAATAATTTTAATATTACGTTAGTTGTACAATGCATTTAAGTTAAAAATTAAATACTTGAAGTTCATGTACTTACCTATGGAATTAATTGGGTTTTTGAGGGAAAACAATTTTATTGCTTCACGGTGATTGCGTAAAATATTTAAAAATTTTATGAATCTTTTAATGTAGTTTATTAATCTATAAACACTTATATTTATTACTCATTATTTTCTAACCCAAAAAATGCTAGATCTGCATGGTTGAACCTGGGGCTGAACCGAACTAAGATAAAGTGGCCAGCGGCGTATTTCAGTTTCTCGACACATTTGCAGCTAAATAAGAGTGGCGTGCGATTCACTTCAGACTATATATTTGTGACCGATGAATAACTAAGGTCCGTTTGTCATCTCTCGTATATAAAAACTATTCATTATATTGTAATTTGGATAAATTAACTAACTATAATTATTAAAATGAATAGTCGTAGATGACTGGATGAATTATAATGCAGTTTTATATTTATTCGATTGTCACGTCGATACGTGACGTATCAATGAGAAAAAACGAGTGTAGTAAAGCGAGTTGCTCTATGATGAAAGAGGATTTTACTATTTTACTATTAAGTTTTCTTGATTTTTACTAAATTGACTAATATTTGTTTTTCATAATAGACTCTCAAAGATCATACACGTGTACTATATCAAATGTTTTACAAATTGAAATAAGCTGCAACTTGGATTTGTTTTTTTAATGAAAATTTTATTGCCAAAATAATAGTATTGAGAGTTTTGATCATTGATTTTGCATGTGTGAAATCTTGTTGAAATTTATTATAATTATTTTCAGTAAAATCACAACTGTTCCTTTGATATGGAGTACATTATATTTTTCACTGACTTGAATTATGAAAAACCTGTTTGTTCATAAATAAACATATAAGTAATTTTTTAGAAAAAATGATTATTTATTATTAAATTATTATTAGGAATATATTCCTAAATAATGTGAAGACTGAGTTTGTAAAGTGGTTGGGTCTTTCTACAAGATCTTGAAGTAAATATATGAATTCTAAATAAACCTTGAATCAGCTCTTTTGTGCATTGGTAATAAAAGTTTCCATGTACTATTAGTAATCAAGAAGAGTTATTGGAATTAATATAAGATTAAAGAATATTTTTACCTGTAAAATGTCTGAAGGGTATTACGAAGACTTTGCAATATATGACTCGAACAATTAAAACAGAAATAAGCCCTCCTGTAAATGGATGGCAAGTTCTTATGAAAGAACTTGTGCAAGAATTTGCACAAGAAATACCATAAGAACTTACGTAAGTTTGTAGGAATGATTTGGTGAATATTTTTTTATTTGCAAAGTGAACATATGTAATAAGCAGGTATATCGAGAACAAATGTAACCACATCCATATAAGTATATATAATGTTATTATACCTCGGTTTTTCATTCAAATGAACCATAGACCAAGCACATGGAACAATGTAGATGGAAACAATTTTGTAAATATCTTTAGTAGTTCTAGTATCAATTTTTCATTGATTTATTTATTTATTTATTTCATTGATTTAGATTCATCTAATTGAGTAAGTATAGGCAAGAAAATACTTTAATAAAACACTAATCGCAAATGAGTTCTTTCTTTAATGATTTGTTATGGATGATTTGTTATTTTTGGTATGGATCTAATCAGTTATTCTACAATAATCAATAGAATATTTGTTATATACAAATTATATATTATTATTTTACTACAATAATATATTTATTATTTATACAACACTGGTTCTATATAGAGTTGATCTGGAGTCATGTTAACTATCATAATGAAAAATTAATTATCAATCCATAGCTATTACAAACAAATTTATATTTGTTGCAATCTAAAAACACTTGAGAATAAAACTTATCATAAACATCAGTATTCTCTTTAGAAGTATTTTAAAAGTTGAGACGTTTCACAAGGAAAATTTTCATAAAACACCCAGCTAAAATACCTGTAATAATGCAGTATAAGAACCAGAAATAACAAGAACAATCAAGAAATGAAAAAAATGTTGATTTAGCTAACAAGTTAACAAAATCAATTAAACAACAACCATTGAAATAATAATAAATAAATAAAATGCCTTACCAAATTAATTCTGGTTATCAAGCCCTTAGCGTAATTGTATCTCAATTAGTTTTCAAATAATTTATTAGAAAAGCTAGCTGAATGAGAATAACAATGAAAGATACTTATTTTTACCTGAAATGACAAAATATTTGCACAAAGTAGCAGTTTCATAGAGAGAAATGGTTGGTTACAACAATTTTCATTGAATTTGTTCATGATACTTATCTAAATTTATTTTGCTCCATTTCCAAGACTTCAAATTTTTCATTTGTCAAATATATTTTCCAATTTCATTGCAGTAATTATAAGAACTGACCGTCAAATAAACTTTAACATGTTAAAGTAGTGAAAATGTAGTAGTAAACAATCTCCATGGCAGTGAATTTTAACCTTACTTCCAAATAAAAACATTCAAGTCGAATATGAAATTCAAGTAACAGCTTACAAACGAAGGCCATGGTTGTAAAATAAACATAAATCCGTCATAATTTTGGAAAATAAGATTTTTTTATTGCTCATCGATAGTCTTCACTGAAGCTTAATGAACGGAAAACCTCGTTTTATATATCTATATGTTATATATATGTCATCAGGAAATATATTGAAACTATGCTCCGTCGGTATGAAAATTTCGAGAGCTTTCTCGAACGGCAACACCGAAGTTATATAAGGGAGATCATGCACACTGGCGCTAGTGTTTTGTTTAAATATATAGATGTGCAGAAGTACCTTATCGCTTCATAGAGATTAAAGAAGAGAAGACATTGAATTTTTTAATTTTATCATCATGAGTCTCGAGTACCATCCCGCAAGATTTCTTCATGAATTAGCCAATCTTTGCCAATACTCTGAAACAAACTGCAGTCAACCTGTGGAGAGTGGAAGTAAGTTTTTTTACGGTTACTATTGTCGAGAATATTACACTGATCGTTAACCTTTTTAACAGATCGATCCTCTCATTTTGGTCATTTCTCTCATTTTTTTTCACTTTCACTATCACGTACCTGATAAACGGCTTACAATTGTTGACAACAATCAACCATACCGCGTTGTTTGTTTATTGTTTGTATTTGTAAACAGTTTGAGAAAACTTATTGCTTGTTGTGATTTCAGCGTACGAGTGGTCATGGGACGCATCTTTTGAAACACCGAGACTGCAACTGGACGACTCAAATTTAGAAGTCAAGTTCCATCCTGGATATAGTGTAGGTACAGCAGCTATCAGAGGTAACAAAATGATGTCAAAGGGGAGACATCACTATTGGGAGGTCAAAATGATTACACCAGTTTATGGAACAGATGTGGTAAGTATCGCAACATTTTATTTTATCTGTGGCTTAATTTCTAAACAATATGTTCAATCCATTGGCTTATGTTCTTCTCTAGATGGTTGGAGTGGGCACGATAAAAGCAGATCTAACTAGTACAATGGATTCTTTTTGCTCTCTTTTGGGTAGAGACAGTGAGTCTTGGGGTTATTCGTATAGAGGATTTATACAACACAGTGGTGAATTTAAAGAATATACAGCATGTTTCAAACAAGGTAGTTTAGTTGGAGTTCATTTGGACACATGGAAAGGAACCCTTCAATTTTTCTTAAATAGGAAACCATTAGGTAACTTACAACATCAGAAATATGTTCCTAGTCTGAAATATACATTAATTAAGTAAGCGATATATAAAATAAAATGGTATATTTTAGGTATTGCTTTCTCTGGTCTTAGAGGATTAGAACTCTATCCCATGGTTTGTTCAACAGCAGCAAAAAGTAAAATGAGAATAACATACAGTTGTTCAACACCAGCTTCTCTACAAATGGAATGTTTATCATTATTAAGGCCTTTACATAAAGCTTATTTGAATGCAGCATTCCCTGGACTCAATTATCTATTCCAAAGTGTATTTGCAGAAATACTTCAAAAATATAAAGGTAATTTTTACAATTTTTTGTAAATACAATAACTTGCTAAAAATTATTAAGCTGAAATATTTTTTTAATTACTTCAGATGAAGATAATCTTGAGGATGATTATGAAAATCTTGGTGAAAGTTTGATATTAGATGACTTTGACTTTGCTCTGGTTGGTTGTAAAAAACTAAAAAAAAAGCGATGTCTTAACTCAAATTATATACCTGAACTTCCACATCAAAGTGTAAAAGCTATAGTGTTTAAATCGAATGAAACTATTTTCCAGTGAGTCTGATCAGTGTTGAAAAATTTTAGAGTCAAACAAAAGTTAAATGTCTGTGCCAAGATGATCTAAAGACTTCTACTCTTTGCATGATTGGTCTACAGCTGTGAAAAGTTCCGACTTTTTAATGCGTTTTATGAAGGTAACATTCTACCTATCAGCACTCAATTTACAATAATTATTGTAAAATTTAATTTTTTGATAATTTGCATGTAAGGACCTTTTCTGTAATTTTAAAACATAGATCATAAGGTACAGACTCGACATTTTTTCACCAAAATTTAATGGTAAAATATTTACATCTTTAAACAATATTTAGTATTACGTGCATAGATAAACTTTTTAGAAAAGCAATGTGTCAAACTTTTGAGACTATCCTAATTTCAGGATTTAATGTACATAATTATTTATTTAATAAGAATTTCAAAGTAAATTATGAACGAAAGTTTTTAATTTATAAACTTTTAATATGAACTATACAAGATTTATTAATAATTGTAGTATTGGTTGTATTAGAATATTTTACAACTGTAATTATTATCAGTTCTATTAAAATATTAAATTGTAAAAATTGCAGATTATTGTCTGAACTAATTAAAAGCTCAATATATGCATTTAAAAAATACTTTATGTATTTTAAAAAAATAAAACGTTTGATTACAAACTGCAAACATGAACTATTTCATAGTCCCAATTTAATTACACTTACTTACTTTTCTTAGATTTATTCACTTTAACAGATTTTTGTTTTTCATCACTATTAGTGCGTTTGTTGCTTTTACTTTTATATCTATCTGTGGAATTAATTTTTACACAGAACACAATAGCTTGTGCCCAACCAGCAAGAGGTCCCCAAAGTTCACGCAAGTAATTATTAACTTCTTGGTGAATTTTTGGAGTTACAGATTTTTGTTTGCTTAGATGTGGAATGTAATTTGCACATGCTATTTGAAATATATGAGTATCCACTGGAATAGCTTCTAAATGCCCAAGTGACATAAGACAAACACAATCTGCAACTTTAGGACCAATACCTGGAAGAGACATGAGACTTTCTCTTGCATGTTCATAAGTTGTACCACTCTCCTTTTTCAAATCTTGCAGCCACTGTCTGCCTCCAAGAGTTAAAAGTTTCTGAGCACTTTTTGCTATATAGCCAGCTCTGTATCCAAAACCTTCTTGTCTGAGAATCAACTCGACATTTGGTTTAGAAAGTGCTTCTATCGTAGGGAAATCATAATACTCTTTACCATCTATAATACCAATCTTTTCACCAAATATTCTACTCAATTTTTCTACCATGCCTGATATTCTGAAAATTAATATATTGAAAAATATTGCAATGGTAATTATGTTGTTTCTTTTTACCTTTGTATGTTATTGTTTGAACTACAAATAAATGAGAAAATATTTTCAACAACATCTTGATCTAATATTCTAACAGCTCCTATCTTATCATAAACACTCTTAAAATGAGAATCAGAATTGGCCCATGTTTTTATATTTTCTTTCAATGAAACATCTAATCGAAAATAATTAGATAAAACTTCTTCACATTTAAAACCCTTCTGGAGTGATTGATGCATTGTGTAAATTATTTTATTATCATTTTGTGACAATGTCCAAACAGTACTTCCAAAAACTCCTCTAAATTTTCCATCACTATCACAAGCTGTCCATCTGCAATTCAAAAACAATGCTGTTAAAAATTATCAAATTAAATATTAACAGAGAATTTTAGCAATCATAAAAAATATGCATTTATGATTTAGAAATTGAGAAGTCAAATAAAAAATTATCAAAAATAATAATTTCTTACCGGAAACTTTGACCCCCTTTCAATGTTATTCCTAAATCAAGTTCTTCTCTTTCGCATAAAATGGAATCGCTTATTTCTTGTTGTTCGCCACTCTCATTTTGCTGTCGAGCTCGTGCTGTCAACTTCATTATCGTTAAAGTTTTACAAAGATTCAAATTATATCTTAAAAATTGTGTCATGAGCATGTAAACATAACACGCATAGTAAACTCAGGTACAACGGTGACATTATACACTGTCAACAGCAATAATATAGCAATAGAAAATGGCGCGTAAACACGACGCTAGCGCCACATTTAAATGGAACAAACATAATCAAAATTTCTTATATTCAATGCTACGTATTGAAGTATAATAACAAATTTAAAAATCTTTCATTTCCGTACCGACGATAATTGGAATACTTGAGTAATTAACAAGGTTAACAAATCGAGTACAAGTAATAGAAGTTCATAGACTGGTGGGTGCAAATATAGGACTAATGCTTGAAAGCTCGCCGAAAGCTTGGAAAATTCTAGAGCTCGAATCAGATCGTGAGTTAGGAACTTGGGACCGAGCCAGTGCTGAGAATCCTATCATTTTCTCGCAAAGGCAAACTTATAAAAGGATAGTCGTGGCGTTTCTTTTTCTTTGTATTGGATTTGATTTGGATTTTTTTTTTGTATCCGTGACCGTCGTTTGATTTAGTTCCACGCTTAATTCTACGTCCCCCTTAGTGTTTACATTTTCAAGCCAAGCCTTCGCTACGCACTGAATACTTTGCTTGAAGCTTAAATAAATTTTGAACAATTTTTTAAATTATCAAAGTGTAGTTGAAAGTAGTAAGATTATTTATTAAATCATTGGAAAATGGAAAAGCTGTAGTTGGTTTAGTAACTATAACCTCTTTTACAATCAGATATGTATCTTTTTTTATTCAATTTTATTTAATCACATCAGATGGTTGATCAGATACTTTGTTTAGAATTTTATTTTACAGGTAGACTGAAATAAAAATGATAAAAACTGATGCCTACTGTTTTCTAAGATCAGTATATATTTGAAGAAATTTATTTCAATTAATCAGGTAAGACATTAGTTCATCATCAAGATAGATCTATATTTATATTAAATAAGTTTTTCATGACAAAAGGTGTTCTGTAAGAGACGTTCATCAAGGATGAGTACAAAAAGGCACTCCTAATGTGATAACTGCAGGAGTGAACAACAGTAAAGCTTTGTTTGTTTCATGGAAAACTCAGTCTGCAGGTAGTAATTTGTAAATATATATATTAATTGTCTATGATGGAGGATTATATTATGTGTTTACATTTCAAAGATCTCCCAGTGTTGGAGTTATGTACATCTTAAGTTCGTATTTTATGAGTTCTTGATGCAGTAGAAAGTGCTCGGAAGAAAAAAATATTAAATCATTTATTATAGAAGATATTAAAATCTTTTTCCAAAAAGAAGATAACCTTGACGTATTTATCTAAAATTAACTATATCGATAAAATCACAAAAATAGTGAAAAAACATGAAATTTTTCAAGAGTTCTTAGGTTATGATTGAGAGGTCAAGAGTTCGAGAGTTAGGATTGAGAGATCAAGAGTTCGTAGGTTGGAATTGTGAGAGCATAGTTCGTAGTTTGGGAATGTGATAGCAAGAGTTCGAGAGTTGTGATTGAGAGATCAAGAGTTCGATGGTTGGGATTGAGAGAGCAAGAGTTCGTAGGTTGGGATTGTGAGAGCATAGTTCGTAGTTTAGGAATGTGAGAGCAAGAGTTCGAGAGTTGGGATTGTGACATTAAGAGTTCGAGAGTTGAGTTTGAGAGAGCAAGAGTTCGATAGTTGGAATTGTGAGACCAAGAGTTTGATAGTTGGGATTGTGAGAGCAAGAGTTCGAGAGTTGTGATTCAGAGAGCAAGAGTTCGGTGGTTGGGATTGAGAGATCAAGAGTTCGTAGGTTGGAATTGAGAGATTAAGAGTTCGAGAGTTAGGATTGAGAGAGCAAGAGTTCGTAGGTTGGGGTTAGGATTGTGAGAGCAAGAGTTCGAGAGTTGGGATTGTGACAGTAAGAGTTCGAGAGTGTGGTTTTAGAGAGCAAGAGTTCTTAGGTTGGATTGTGATATCCATATATATATATATATATATATATGGATATATATATATACATATATATATATATATATATATATATATATATATATATATATCCAATATCCATATACATACTTTATCTATATATGATATTCATACTTTATCTATATATGATATTCATATCCATTTCCATACTTTAATCCATATCCCTATCCATATCCATACTACATATACATGCTATAGCCATATCCCATATCAATACGTTATCCATATCCCATATCCATATCCAAATCATATCTATACTTTATCCATAATCATATCCATATTCATATCCATACCACAGCCATATCCACATCCATATCCATATCCATATCCATGCTTTATCCATATTCCATATCCCGTATCCCATATCCTATATCCATATCAATATCCGTACTTGATCCATATCCATATTCATATCTATACTTTATCCATATCCATACTATATCCATATTCATATCCATTTCCATATCCATATCCATATCCATATCCATATCCATTTTCATATCCATATCCATATCCATATCAAAGAATATTTAATTAAGCATCAATGTTAATGAATATTTTTTTTTTAACCTATACAATGCTGTTGCACATCAATTGAAATTAATAGGAAACATACCTTCCCTGAACTTTATTGATCTTAGGAAACAAACTGCCAAATATCTAAGAGAGCATAGTGATAATTTTCTGTCATTTATAGATAATCCAGATTCTGATGATCTTATGTCAATTGAACAGTATGAAAAATACTGTGATTCAGTTGGAGAAACGAGTGCTTGGGGTGGAACAGTTGAAGTGAGAATATTTATTCAACATGCAACGGTATATTAGTATTTTATGTTTAATAAAATTTTCTTGTTACAGCTGCAGGTACTAGCAAATATTCTCAAATGTCCTATTGAAGTTATTCAAGCTAGTGGTGTTCCTTACATAGTAGGTGAAGAATATGAACAGACAAGAAAACTTATTCTAACATATCATCGGCATATGTACCAACTTGGAGCACATTATAATTCTGTAACAAAATATATAGCAAATTTAGAAGACAGCTGATCTAACTGTTAAATTGATTCAAATTAAAATAAATTATAGTTAGCTTATTACACAGTTGAAATTGTTCAAATTTTTTTGTGATTGCTAAAGTTGTAAAGGATTGTGTTTTATTATGCTTTATGTTATAAGAAGATCATTTTAGAGTAAATTTTGTCGTGTTAAAGATTTATTATACATCAACAACGTTAAAAAATTTTATAAAATGTCAAATGTACATGAATCATGGAAAATAATTTATATAAGATATATTTTAATTTATATATGTAATTAAATTATAAATACATTCAAGTCTATGTTTATCTAGGTAGAAGAATATAAAACAATGTTACGATAAATTATGTTTAATAATAAACGTTTAACGAAAATTCTTTTTCCAAAATTTATTTGGCTGTATTATTAACAGCTTCTATAATCTCTTCTCGTATTTCTGTTTGGATCATCAGGCTTTATAGCCGGGAAGAACAGTACCTCCTGTGAGTAAATTTAAATAAGTTTTAGTTTACAGATATTTATGAATTATAAATATCATTATAATTTAAACTAACTTTAATATTATTAGAGTCAGTGAGGAACATAGTTAGACGATCAATTCCAAGACCCCAACCTGCGGTAGGCGGCAAACCATATTCTAAAGATGTACAGAAATTATCGTCAACTCGTTGCTCAAATCTAGAAATATACATTTTTAGTAAAATAAAAATTTTCTTTTTCAAAAAATGAGAATTACTCAATTGTGCAATTCGCAAAAATATTACGTACCTTTCCCTTTGTACAAACGGATCATTCAACTCCGTATATGCATTACAAATTTCTTTCTTCATGACAAAAAGTTCAAATCGTTCCGTGAGACCCTCCGCAGAACGGTGGTATTTTACAAGCGGAGACATAATTTGTGGATGATCTAAAATGAATGTTGGATTTATACACTTTTCTTCAATGAACTCGCCGACCAGCTAAAGTTATAAATTATTATTAGTAACTAATTAATAACTATCTGTTTATAAATTCAATTTTTAAGCTATTAATATTCACATACTTTATCTAGTAATCTAGCAGTGGTCCTTGGTGCTGGACATTCAACCTCGTGCTTTATACAAAGATCGCTGAGGAATTTATTAGCCTTTGGAGTATTTAATTCGGAAGCCTTAGGAAAATTAACGTTCAGAAGTTCCTCAAGACTTTTCAACATTGATATTCGCTTAAATGGCGGAATAAAATCTATTTCTACCGCTTCACCTTCTTAGCCGTTTGGATGATAGATTACTTTATAAGTACTATGTGTTAACTTAACCATGCCCGAAATCATAGCTATCAAATCATTGTAATCCGCATAGACCATGTAAAATTCACAAGTGTTGAATTCAGGATTGTGAGTCATGTCGATACCTTCATTCCTGAACTATCTTCCGATTTCGTAAACTCTGTCAATTCCTCCTAGCACTAACTTCTGTAAAAAAAGTTGAGTTTAAATAAAATAAATTTAAAATTAAGATAATTAAAGATTAAATTAATATAACTATCTTTAGTTATATTAGAAAATGTATATAGTTTTGAAACTATTATGTTTACTTTGTTGTAAAGTTCTGGTGTAATCCTCATGTATACATCCAGTTTAAGATCGTTGTGATGTGTGATAAAAGGTTTTGCTGTTGTCCCACCAGCAATCATGTTAATCATTGGTGTTTCAATTTCCAAGAAACCCAGTTCATCCAAAAATTTACGTATGTAAGAAATTATTTGCGCTCTAATGTAAAACTTTTATCTGACGTGATTGTTAATGATCAGATCTAAATAACGTTGACGGAACCTTGTTTAACCTTTTTTTGTCTACATTAATTATTAATAATCTTTTACTAAAATTTTACTTTATCTTTCAATCCACAATGTAAATGAGGAAGCATGTGCAAACAAGGGTTCAGAAGTTTTATACTTTTAGACATAATTGACAATTCTCCTTTCTTACTTTTACAAGGAAAATCATCAATACCAATAATATCACCTCTACCAATTTTAGAGTTATCTGGCTCAAATTTGCTTTCATCATAATAAAATTTTGCATCGGCCATCACTTGAACTTTTACATCTTCTCCTTGGTTGTAAGCGATCGATATGAATGTGCCGTTTTTAAAAAACAAATTTACGCACGGTTTACACAAAGGTTGGCAGATGGAAATATGACGCAAGTTGTAACGTGTTTCATCACATAAGTATAGTAGGCTAGCCGGCAGAGCAGCTTGACTTCTTAGCAAGCTTCTTTCGATAATGCCCAACATCGTTCGTTGCTTACAGCACAATTATCGCAATTATAGCACCACCGACAAGGTGATACAAAAACCGTTAATTTATTAACACTTATTAACTTGCACATCTCATTTTAACCACGTAACTGCTCGGTGGGGTAAATCTACCCCAGCTCGAAAAACATCGAATAAATCAGAGAATTTTAGATATTTTGCTATGAAAAGTTTTTATAGTATATTTCAAACCTTTTACTACAAAAAAAAAATATTCAGGTTAACAATTTTTAATGTTACACATACTGAAAAAAATTGTTGAAAAAAAAAAAAAAAAATTTTATTTATTGTTAAAAATTGTCTGGGGTAAATCTACCCCACATAGCAGTTAAGTGTTAAACAAAGATCGAAAAATACTGTAGTACAGAAAGGAAATATTCTTGAACATACAGTGTGCTGTAGGTTATCTTTAGATAGTCAAGTTCTAACGTGAAAGCACCACGATGATTACTCACTTTTTTGACAATTTTTCACCTACTGGTTCGGCCATTTCTACCATGAGGTAATTTGATTTCCTGATTTCCCACCATCTTTAGCAGACGAGAATTGTACACTATTCGTTAGTTCATAAGTTCGCGCTTCTGGCGCGTATTTTGAGATAAGCTGCTTACAGATCAGCTGCTGTAAAAAGTCTTACTAGCTTCAAACGGATAAACACGTATGATACACGGGAGAAAGTTAATATATAAGTATCATTGTTATAAACGGCTTTTTGAAATCTCCGCTTATGCACGTTAGCATTTGTAATACTAAATAACTATTGTAATAATTGTACTAAGTAAATAACTAAATAAATAAATAAATATGTATGTGATAACTACATACATACATTACATACATACATAAGTATTATACATAAATATGTGTATTATACGTACATATGTATTATACATACAAGTATATTATACGTACATATGTAATATACGTACATGTGTATTATACATTCAAAAGTATTATACTGCTCTCGGTATTATACGTACAATTGTATTATACATAAATATGTGTTATACATATATATGTTTTATAGGTACATGTGTATTATACGTACAAGTGTATTATAGATGCATGTATATTATACGTACAAATGTATGATATGTATAAGTGTATTATACGTACGAGTGTATTATACGTACAAGTAATAAACTATAAGTAATATACGTATAAGCGTATTATACATGAAAGTGTATTATACCTGCATGTGTATTATACGTACGAGGGTATTATACGTACATATGTATTATACATACAAGTATATTATACGTACACTTGTAATATACGTACATGTGTATTATACATTCAAAAGTATTATACTGCTCTCGGTATTATACGTACAATTGTATTATACATAAATATGTGTTATACATATATATGTTTTATAGGTACATGTGTATTATACGTACAAGTGTATTATAGATGCATGTATATTATACGTACAAATGTATGATATGTATAAGTGTATTATATGTACGAGTGTATTATACGTACAAGTAATAAACTATAAGTAATATACGTATAAGCGTATTATACATGAAAGTGTATTATACCTGCATGTGTATTATACGTAAGAGTGTATTATACCTACATGTGTATTATACGTACGATTGTATTATACGTACAAGTAATATACTATAATATAAGTAATATACGTATAAGCGTATTATACATGGTTGTGTATTAGACCTGAATGTGTATTATACGTAAGAGTGTATTGTACGTACAAGTAATATACTATAATATAAGTAATATACGTATAAGCGTATTATACATGGATGTGTATTAGACCTGAATGTGTATTATACGTAAGAGTGTATTATACGTACAAGTAATATACTATAATTTAAGTAATATACGTTTAAGCGTATTATACATGAATGTGTATTATACCTGCATTTGTATTATACGTACGAGTGTATTATACGTACAAGTAACTCTTATATTACAATCCCAACCTACGAACTCTTTTGCTGTCAATCCCAACTTCAAAACTCTTTCTCATTCAATCCCAACTATCAAACTCTTTCTCTCTCAATCCCAACTCTCGAACTCTTTGTATTTCAATCCCAACTCCCGAACTCTTTCTGTCTTAATCCCAACTCCCGAACTCTTTATTTCAATCCCAACTCCCGAACTCTAGACTTATCAATCCTAACTATCGAACTCTTTTGCTGTCAATCCCAACTTCTAAACTCTTTCTCATCCAATCCCAATTATCAAACTCTTTCTCTCTCAATCCCAACTCTCGAACTCTTTCTCCATCAATCCCAACTCTCGAACTCTTTCTCCATCAATCCCAACTCTCGAACTCTTTCTCTCTCAATCCCAACTCCCGAACTCTTTTTATTTCAATCCCAACTCCCGAACTCTTTTTATTTCAATCCCAACTATCAAACTCTTTTTATTTCAATCCCGACACCCGAACTCTTTCTGTCTCAATCCCAACTCTCGAACTCTTTGTATTTCAATCCCAACTCCCGAACTCTTTCTGTCTCAATCCCAACTCCCGAACTCTTTTTATTTCAATCCCAACTCCCGAACTCTAGACTTATCAATCCTAACTATCGAACTCTTTTGCTATCAATCCCAACTTCCAAACTCTTTCTCATTCAATCCCAACTATCAAACTCTTTTTATTTCAATCCCAACTCCCGAACTCTTTTGCTGTCAATCATAACTTCAAAACTCTTTCTCATTCAATCCCAACTATCAAACTCTTTCTCTCTCAATCCCAACTCTCGAACTCTTTCTCCATCAATCCCAACTCTCGAACTCTTTGTATTACAATCCCAACTCCCGAACTCTTTCTGTCTCAATCCCAACTCCCGAACTCTAAACTTATAAATCCTAACTATCGAACTCTTTTGCTATCAATCCCAACTATCAAACTCTTTCTCTCTCAATCCCAACTCTCGAACTCTTTCTCTCTCAATCCCAACACTCGAACTCTTAGTATTTCAATCCCAAACTACGAATTCTTTTGCTGTCAAAAGAGTTCGATAGTTAGGATCGATAAG